CGAATGCGAGCCTGTATGAATTTTAGAAGGCAAGGAGCGAAAAGAAAAAATAAGGTTATCATTAGTATTGGCCCCAAGAGTGGGAGGAGCCATGACACCATAGGATTTTGAAACCATGTCAGCAGAGAGTTGGAGTCCCAGGTTTTACTAGTAATAACATTCTTCCCTGAGAAACAGGCAGGTACCCCCTTTATTAGCTGTTAACAAGTCCAGAGCCCGCCGGTTTTGGAGAGTGACCTGTGCCAGGGAGGTGAGCTGTCTTTTTAATGATGCTAAAGACACATAGGTTTTTTTCTAAGGAGGTATCAATTTGTTCATAAAATTCCTGGGCAGAAATCAGGCTGTGTCCCAGGGCCCCACCTGCCATACTTGCAGCTGCTATCGATGATGCCAGGCTGATTCCAACCATGATTGGAAGAAAGGCTGCCCGCTTAGTCTGATGTGGTGAGAATAACCAACCTAGCTCAGACCGTCTGTACAGAGCTAACTGTGGGACCACGAGGACTGGGATACGTGGGCCTGGAGTAGCAGAATTAATACACTGAGAGAGAGAGCCATTGCACCAGAAAAAGTTTCCCTTTGCTGTTGTTCGGAGCACAGAAGTAACCGAAATGTTAGAAGCACAGGAATGAAAGCTGACAAGGGCATCAGTTTGATAGCAGGGGTAGCTGTGATTGGAGTCCCATAGGGTGACTGAGAGTTGGGGAGTCTGGCAAACAACGTCCGTTATCTTGGTCATAGTGGTGTTATAGGACAGGGAGAGGGGTAGCCCAAACCCCGCAAACCTGCCTGTTCTAAATGGGTTCTGCCATCCGCCGCATCAACACAAAACATAGGAGACTTTAATGGGAAGGAACTTTAATACAATTAGGAAACAATACAGGTAAGGCAAAGAGTCTAGTTTCTAAATGCAGCACCCAAAGTTACCCATCCCCTCGTGGGTAAAACTCCATCCACCTGGGATTGGCCCAGAACAAGGCCCCAAAGCCTGCCACAAGTCCAAAGCATCTTCCAGTGGGGACCCACCCACAGAAAAGGGTCAGAAACAACCAGATAAGCCCGGAAGGAAAAGAGAAAATCAACATCAAGATAAAAGCTGCCATTGTCACCTCCCCACGGGTCTCACCCACATCTGTGTCACCCAGTCCACGACCAAAAGACAAGCGAGGGGAGCAGCGGGCAAGCCAGGAGAGGTCTGCTATGCCATGTGGGTTGCTCCCTGGCCAGCTGGGAATCAAATTCATGCTACAGAGGCTGCAGACAGCCTCACAGGCTGTGTGTGTCTTAACCCCTTGCGCCACCAGGGAGGCCCAAGAAACTTAAGTCTTTTTTTTTTTTTTTTTTTTTTTGTGGGATCCTTGCTGGTGGCACTGATACCGGAATTGTCAGGTCTAGTCTCCCAGCCAGGAACGGATCTCAGGCTGCAGGGCAGCGCTGAGTCCCAGCCACTAGACCCCCCCAGGGTTGGTGTCTCACGAAGCCGCAGCAGGAACTTCTCAGACGCTCAGGCAAGCAAGCGAGAAGAGGCAGGTTCATTTATAGAAAGAAAAAGTTTATTGAGGAGGGAAAGAGCAGAAATAAAGTGGGACTCCCAGGCCAGGGAACCAGGCCTGGGAGGGGCAAGGAAGCCAAAGTGGAGTCGTGTCTTAGGGAATATATACCTTTTTTCCCTCATTATTCTAAAGCTGCCCCAGTCTCTTTGTGATTGGTCAGTTCTCGGCTGTCTCACTCGATTTGCTACTGAGTGGGGATCTTCACATTCCTTATCTAACAGCTTTCTCTTTCCCCATTTGTTGCATCTTTAAATTTATGGCCCAGTCTTCTGGATGGGCATCCCTGCATTGAAGTTAAACAGCTGCCCTTCTAATGTGACCATAAATTAAACCACTCTCCATTTCTCCAATCTCCGCCTCCCTTTACCACCTGAAGGAAACCAGGACCAGCATTAACAATGTTGTCCTTGGTCCTGGCATGTTTGTTTTTCCTAATGGAATGGGTTACTTTCCCTTGCTTGTCCTTATCTCTTAAGCCTCCCTAAATTTTTCAGAGGTCCCCTCCTTCACTATCCCTAAAACTGCCTAATAACCCTAGCTTGCCCTGTCTCAGCACTGGTGCTGCAGAGGCTGCGGGCAGCCTCGCAACCCAGCGCTCAATGGCTGCGCCACCAGGGGAGGCCCGAAACTTGTCTTTTTGAACCTCCCCCCAAAACAAATTTAGCTAATCATGAAAATGAGACAGGTTAGAGAACAGGCCTCTGAGATCACAACCAACATACAAGCACCCAAAAATCTTCATTAGACACTAAATGGCATAATAACAATTACTACTTCTGTTTACAAACCTACTGCCAGGAAGTTTACATTTTATTATGTTCACAACCATTCTGCAAGGTTGATGTCATTCTTCCACTTTATAGAGGAGTAAACTAAGACTCAGATAGGCTGTGATTTTCTTAATGACACACAGCAAGGACAAAGGTTTGAATATGTCTGCCTCAAACCACTCAGTCTTTTTACAGGGCCATGCTGTTAAAACCTTCAGACGAGGGCCTCCCTGGTGGAGCTGCGGTTGAGCGCTGTGCTGCGAAGCTGCCTGCAGCCTCTGCAGTGCCGGTTCTATCCCCAGCCGCCGGGCGAGGGTCCCACATGGCGCGCAGACCTCTCTTGCCACCTGCTGCTCCCCTCAGCAGTGTACTTCGTCAGTCTGCCTGTTCTGCACCCCGCTCTGGCTCTGGCGAATTCTCTCACCCTCTCACGATTCTGACTGTACCCAGTGTTTGTATAAATAAATAAATCTTAAAAAAAAAAAAAAAAGAAAACCTTCAGACGAACCTGGGGCTGCATACTGTGATCAATACAAAATGAACCCCAATCTCTAAGCTTTCAGAACAGAAATTACTCTTCCCTGCCTCTGGAGAAACCTCCCCTCACCCTCCAATACACTCACACACAAAGAAAGGCTGCTGCATCACTTACTCAGTGGGCGCCTCACAACCCAGTCTCCAAGATTACCTTTTGTGTTTCTCACTATGAAGAGGAGTCCAAACCTCCCCCTAGCCTCACCCTCAGAGAAAGTAAGTAAAAGTTTGACAGTCACCCAGAAAAACTGTTTATTCTAGTAGAGAAACCCACAGATACTACTACCCAGCTCCTTCTCAGACACTTTATCAAAGTTTGATTAGTTCAGTTCAAGGTACCTTTATCCGGGTGTCTCATTACAGAGCAAGGGCACTTCAGCCATTTGTAACACCACCACCCAAGCAGGATTTTCAAGGACAGCAGCAAAAATGAGTTGCAAGGGAGCTATAAATCCTCCTTGTGTTACAGGGCAGGCTGCCCCTCTCCCTGCCTTCATTCATTTGCTCTCTCAACTCACCTATTTATTCACAGTTCGTAACTGGATTACTCCCATTCCTCAAACGTGTCTGACATTCTTACCCTTGTTCATTTACTCACACTTGCCTTTGCCTGGAACTCATTCTTCCCTGGCCGAGATCTGTCTTCCACTTTGAACTTCAATTCCACTTAATATTCACTTATCTTTTGGCACTCGTCACCTTGCATTCTTCATTACAATTAATCAAAAAACATGTTTTTCCTCCTATTTGACTATCAGTAATCCATGTGACCTCAAAGTACTCATCAGACATTGGAGATATATGTATAACATATATGTGATCATTTATGGCGATATTTATTTTGTTCTCATTGGGGGGGTCTCTCCCCCACTCCCAAGAATGTAGCCAGCCCTTAATGTTCCCTAGTTGAAGGCTTCTAAATTTCAGATCCATAAATCGAGTTTCCAGGCACCCAAAAGGTAATTTCCAGAAATGCTTTGGAAAAGTGTGGGCTTGTTAGGGAAACTGATCCAGAAGGAAAAGTGATAGGAGCGAGTGCTTTCAAAGTGCAAAAATCCGTGGAAACAAGAAAAGGTTAGCGAAGGCACCACGTTTTTGAGACTTTACAGGAGCATAGCGACCTCGGCTTCATTTGCCTACAGAGCCCATGGTGAGGACAATGCCGAGGGCGGCGGTGCACTCTCCGCCTTGGTCTTGAGAGCAGTGGAAAGGATCTGTGGTTCTGAGCAAGGGTGGAACGATCCATTGTGAAGGGCCCAACGGAGGCAGGAGGAATCGTACTCACATCAGTATTTAAGGACCTGGTCTCCACCCCACTGTTCTGCGGAGGAAACACGTCAGCAGAAAGCACTATATGTAAAGACTAAAATGCTTCGTCTTGTCAGACGGCTTCTGATCAAGAAATGGCTAGCGTGTTAGAGCTTACTATTATGGAAACCCCAGGACACGACTTCTTGGGTTCCTGCTTTGGTGTGGGGCTCTTTTTCCTGCTAGATTCCAAGTCTCCAATCTGAACTGCCCCTCGCGGTTCAAGTCCTCCAATAGCCTTCAGCCTTCCCACTGACCCTCCTTCCTCGCTCCAAGCTTCCTCTCCTCAGCCCTACGTCAGACTCTCCTCAGTCGTCCCATGCTCGCCCCTTCTACCCCCTCGGCCCGTCTCCCGCTCTTCCTGTTCCGACGGCCTAAATTCTCGTTCCCCTCCCGCGTCGCCCAAGCAGGTCTTCCATTTCCGCGCTTCAACGACCCCCTCTTCCCGGCCGCCCCCCGCTCCGCGGGGAACAGAGCCCCCCCGCGCCGCGCAGCCGTTGGAGGGGGCGTGGCCCGCGAGTACCGGGTCCCCCGCCCCGCAATCCGCGGGCCCGCGCGCAGACAAAGACATTCCACAGCCCCCGCCCCCTCCGCGCGTTCGGCCAGAAGGGGGAGGAGACACGTGTCCCGCTAGCGCCGAGTCACGTGGAAAAGAAAACGTACGAAGCCCGCGGCCACCTGCGCACGCGCACTAAGCTCTGGCCTGGCGGGCTCGGAGGGAAAAGTCGAGTACGGCGGCGAATGTGCGCAGGCGCGGTGGCCCGAGTGGGACTTTGTTCTCCGCGGAGAGACCCAAGGGCGGTGCCGGTGGCTGGCTGCGCACGCGCGCCGTCTCATTTCCGGTGCTCTCTTTCGCTGGGTCGCTTGGGTCGGCTTCGGTCGCCGTCGCTCCGTCTCTCCCGCCCCCGCCAACCGCCGCTCGGGCCTTTGCCGCTGCCGCGTCGCTTCCTCGATCCTCCGATCGCACATCATCCCTAATGCAGCGCCGGGACGACCCCGCCGCGCGCATGAGCCGGTCCTCGGGCCGCAGCGGCACCATGGACCCCGCCGGCGCCCACCCCTCAGTGCGTCAGACGCCGTCTCGGCAGCCGCCGCTGCCTCACCGGTCCCGGGGCGGCGGCGGAGGGCCCCGGGGGGGCGCCCGGGCCTCGCCCGCGACGCAGCCGCCACCGCTGCTGCCGCCCTCGGCCACGGGTCCCGACGCGACAGTGGGCGGTCCGGCGCCGACCCCGCTGCTGCCCCCCTCAGCCACGGCCTCCGTTAAGATGGAGCCGGAGAACAAGTACCTGCCCGAGCTCATGGCCGAGAAGGATTCCCTCGACCCGTCCTTCACGCACGCCATGCAGTTGCTGACGGCAGGTAAGCCGGCCCCGGGTCCCCCGGCGCGCCCGGCCCCCGGGGGCCTGCGTGGCCGCAGCTTTGTTCCCCTGTTTTCCCGCCCCCTTTGACGACCGGGGCCGTCACCCGCTCCCCTCCCCAGCGCATCCTTTTCTTCGGGAGCCTGGGCGCCGCATCCCCGGCCCGGCCCGGCCCGGCGCGCGAGGGAGACTCTCTGGGCGGCAGTGGAGGCCCAGATGCGACTTGGCGACCCCGTAGTGCTGAGCTCTTGTAGGGGAGCGCCGGGCCCCCGCCCCCTCGCCGGCACGTTCCCCTTCCCCTCCCGCCCTCGCCGCTAGCTGCCCCGCTGAGCGCTCAGATTCTTCCAGAAACGAACACTCCCCCGAAAAGAAAGCTTTTTTTGATGGCGGGTGGAGGCAGGCGGCGAAGACCGCCTGAGCGGGGAGGGATCGGGGAAGGAGGGAGGCCGGGTGAGGTGGGGTGAGGCTTGCCCTGTCCAGCGCGCCGCGCGTGCGGGGCCCGGTCCTCCCTGGCGATAACTGGAGCTTGAGTTGATCGAGGCGGGAGCAACCTGTAGTAATCCGAGCTTGAGCTTTTCCAAATCAGATTTCCGGCTACGGCCCATAAAATAATTGCTACAGAGTCGGCAAGTTGTGCCCCTTTATTTCACAGCGCGTGTTCACCATCATTCAGGGTGAGGGTGACAGGGAAATGGAGTGATAGCAGGAAATAAAGGGTGGTTTGCATTACGTTTCCCCCACGAAATGAACAGATATTGGGAGACATTGCACGATGTTTCTACCTGAAAGCCTTGGTCTCTTTGGCTTTTTTTTCTTTTTTGCTTCCGTGAGGAAATTGCTGGGAAAGTAGTCTTTGTTCTCTGTAGACCAGCGCTCCTTTACCGCTCGCATTGTCCCATCACCTAGTCGCTGATTTCTCTCTAAAGTCATCTGTTTTGCCCCTACTTCTAATTAAAATGGTGCTTTAGTAAGCCTTTTTCCTTAATGATACCTAAATTTTATTAAGCAAATAAAAATTCAGTTATCAACGCTGAATGAGTAGTTGGACTCTTCCACAAAGGTTGATACGATTGACAGATTCTTTTGAAAATATAATGTCCTTCTTTTGTTCTCTATCTCCCAGCATTGGGAAAAGGTTTTTACTTCTAAGCACAATCAACAGAGCACGTGGGGGGTCAAGAATAAGAACATTAGATAAACTGCTAAGGTTTTCAACTCAGTGTTTGGCTGTTCTGTAACACCTTCTGATTGAGCATTGTTCTTTGTGTTCTTCTGATAAACCCTTTGAGGGTAAGGAGTGCTTTTTATATTTCTCATATTGTCTTGCACATAGCAAATACCAGTGTTTGACTCTGAAAACAAGTACATTCAGATTCAGGAATGTCAAAGTAAATGGTAAAGGTTGACTTGCTAGTCCAATTTTTATTTCCCCAATTCTTAATTAGTTCAAATTAAATGCATGAGAATAAAATAAACATTAGAACTTGAAGATGTTGAGTTGGGTTTGAAATTCTGACCCTTTCTGAGCCTCAGATGTAGGTAAAGTAGGATGGTGAGTTGGGAGGATTAAATGATCTATAAAAAGCACTATCGCAGTTTCATTTGACCTTATAATCGTTAGCTGATTTGTCACCACAGTTTTCTTCTAGTTGTAAATCCACAGTACTGAATAAGAAAATGCAAGATATTTTTTGCTTTTCTGACTGCATCTAGTGTTCACTATGGTGTTCACCTTAGGAAAAGATCATTTTTTTCTGTTACAAGAGCGTGCTCTTTAATTTTTTTCAACTTGGGCCTTTTTGATATCACATTTTATTTATAAAACCAATCTAAAGTTTTAGTTTGAAAAATGGAATTGAGCTAATGCTGCACATCGAGGAAACAAAAACAGACTAGGGGGGAGCGGTTTGGGGATATTTCTTAGCATGAATAAATCTTGATATATGTTGGACCAAGCTTTTGAGGTATTTTTGAATGATCCAGAAAAGGAATAAAATGAAGTCGACTGGGGAAGTAATGTGAGAAGACAGTATTTAAGTTCTGATGAGGATACATGTAAGAAGAATGTAGCTAACAATGTGAAGGGCACTGGTTTGAGCACCTTATAGCCAAATGTTTGGGCTTCGCAAAGAAGTCGCTCTGCTGGCTTTTAGCAATGAGGAAACTAAATCGCAGAGATCGAATAATTAGTCTATGGTAACAAAATTACAATAGTAAGCAGCATAACTAGGATTTGAATTCAGTGGAAGTCTGGACTCATCCCCTCTCTACCTCACCACTATAGTACCTGTAAAAATTGTACTTTTCAAAAATACAGTTTGTACTAATTGGGCAAAATATTAAAAGAAAACCTGTTTGAAAGCATAAAAGTGCTACTGAAGGACAGTGATAGTGACAAGGCCAAGATACATAAGAAGGAAACCCACTTGGGAACGTGATGCCTCCAGGCACCCCTACCCTTTTTGCGGGACCTAGAACACGCTTCTTTTACCAGCCACACATCTCATCTCGCCTTGTCTCTTTGCCAGCTTTATTTTGCACTTAGCATCTTAAGCACCATATATTGTGTGTGTGTTGACTGCTCCTCTCATTCTCCTTCACAGCTACAGTGTCAGCTCCGTCCGGGCAGGAATCTTTTGTCTACTGTGCTCCCCACTGTCTCCTGTTGCTTGACAGTGTCACACAGAATGTCTCTTCTAAACTTAGGATGAATGAATTCTTCGTTGCATAATGTACAGCTATTAACACAATTACTAGGGATTTAAATTTTGAATATAGACTTCTGTATGATGCCAAAGTGAGATTCAAATATGATGATTAAATGCATTTGCAGACCTGCAAGGATTCAGTGTATGCATGCTTTTTCTGAGACAAAATAACTAGCTCTGTTAAATATTTGTTATAAACATAAAATGCTTTTTATCCTTTTTACAGTTAGGACGTCATAAATGAGTCAGGAATAGTAACTATTTTGAATAGATCAACAATTATGAGATCTTGAAAGAATACTCAGAAATCTTTCCAGAAGTACTCAGTGGAGAATTTTTTTACACACAAAGTCCATTGAAACTTCAAAATAGTAATTTTTTTTCTGTCCACAGTATTTAGCTGTTTGTTTATTAGGATAAACTATTCCTTAACTCAAATCTACATGTTCCATAGAAGGAACACAGGTCAGTGACAGCTTCCATGGAAGTCAAGCCAAAGAAATTCTCTGTTTCAAGTTCACTTTGCAATCTGAAAGACACCAGCCTTATCTCCTCAGAATCTTTCAGGGAATCATAATTTTTTTTAAAGATTTACTTACTTTTATTTATGTATACAAGAACTGGGCTGTAGGCCAGAGGTGCAGGGAGTGAGAGGATTCACCAGAGACAGAGTGGGGAGCAGAACAGGTGGATCTACTGAAATATACTGCTGAGGGGAGCAGTTGGCGAGACAGGAGAGGTCTGCTGTGCCATGTGGGTTAGCTCCCTGGCCAGGGATCGAACTCATGTTGCAGTAACTGGCTTGCTAGCCGGAAGGCCCAGAATTATCATTTCTGTAAAAATCTGCTTATGTTTTGTTTCTTGGGTCAGCCACAGGAAAAAAAAAAAAAAAAAAAAAAAAACATACAAGAGCTGGGGTACAGGCCAGAGATGTGGGGGTGGGGGTGAGAGGATTCACTAGAGACAGAGTGGGGAACAGAACAGGCAGACTGACTGAAATGCACTGCTGAGGGAAGCAGCAGGCGAGACAGGAGAGGTCTGCTGTGCGGTTTGGGTTGCTCCCTGGCAGGCCGGGAATTGAACTCCTGCTGCAGAGGCTGTGGATTGCTTCATAGTGCCTTGCTTAACCCCTTGCGCCACCAGGGAGGCCCCAGCCACAGCATAATTATAGAAAGCGATGACCCCCAGGCATACAGTGAATGCTCCAACAATATAAAATCACAGACCCCCCCTGGCCAGAAATCCTTGCATAGAAGTCATGGTAGTTATTCTCAACACAGACATCCTTCCACACTGAGGGAGAAATGGAGAGTGCTGGAACTACCCTCAAAATAGTTAAGTATAAATGTGAGGAAAGACGCAAATGCTATCACTATTTGCAACAATATCATGGTTATTTACCTAGAAGAGTGGTCAGTGATAGAACTGATGACAAGATGAAGATGTACAAATCAGAATGTTTCTAATATACAAAGATTAGCTTTAGAAAAGACTTAATCTCGGTTTTAGAATAGTATCAAATGCCATGGGCTAAGCAGTAAAAATCATCTCGGTGTATCTGAATAATCATAACAAATGATGACAATAATGTTTGACCTTTATATGTAATGTTACTGTGAGGTATGGTCCTCATTAATTCCATCTTCCTGGCCATTCTGAGGCAGGAAGCATTTTTATCTCAATATTATAGATGAGGAATATCTTCATTACGTATTGTCACCTCAGAATTTTACTGAAGGCAGTAAAAGAAGGCTTAAATAAAAAGACAGATATGCTGGTGGGTGGCAGGGGGAGATGTGGATAAGTCGGAGGAGCTAGTAGAATTAAGGTGACAGAACATTTAACACCTTTATACATTTCCAAACTAATTCTAACTGAATTTGCTTTCTCAACACAGTGAATATAAAGTAACTAAAAGAATAAATGAAAATAGTGCTCACTTTGGCAGCACATATAAATTTGTGTATTCAAGCAATAAAATCATTGTTTAACTAAAAGCAAAAAAAAAAAGAATAAATGAAAATAAATGAGAAAAAAGTTTTAGAGACAAAAAAGTAATGAAAACATGCAATATTGACAAAATTAAGTCAAACTAGACTTACAACTTGAGAGGAAATCATAAACATTGCTGCTGGAAGTATGAATTAGTACCACTTTGAATAACAGTTTGGCATTTCATCTGAAAGCTTAATACTCAAATTCCTTAAAATTCATCAGCACCATTCCTAGGAATATGCCCAAAGAAACTTGCACATGAATGCCTCATTCATAAAATGGTGCACTTTTTTTTATAAAGCAATGTGGCTTGTTTCACCATTAATTGGATAGCATGAGATTTACAAAATGAAATACTTATACTACAAATAAAAACTACAGCTATATGTAATATGGAGAACTCTTGGAAATCTAATATTATGTGTAAAAGTAAGTCACATAATGCTATATGCAGTTTAATATTTTTCCCCCTCCCTACAGTTTAATATTTTTATAGAACATAATAAAAACAGATTGTTAGGATAAATATATGTAAAGCCGTTTTTAAAAAAAACTTGTTTTCCATACGACTCAACAATTGTACTCTTGGGCATTTGTCCCAGAGAAATTTAAACTTGGGCTCAGAGGAAACTTATATACAAATGTTTGTAGAGGTTTTATTCATAAAAACTAAACACTGGAAACAAATTATGTGTCTTCAGTGGTGAATAAACTGGCACATCCATACCATGAAAAAGTATGTATCATTAAAGAGAAATGAACTGCTAATAAATGCAACAACTTTGTAGGGATCTCAAGCAAATTATGTTAAGTGAAAAAAGCCAGTCTTAAGAATACATACTGTATAATTCCATTAATTTAATAGTCTTAAAAAGACAATAATAGAGGGGCCTCCCCGGTGGCGCAGCGGTTGAAAAGCTGCCCGCGTCTGCGGCGCCGTTCGATCACCGGAGGAGGGTACATGGCGTGCAGACCTCTCCTGCCGCCCGCTGCTCCCTCAGCAGTGTACTTCGGTCCTTCTGCCTGCTCTGCTCCCACTCTGGCTCTGGTGAATTCTCTCACCCTCCCGTGCTTCTGACTGTACCTAGTGCATGTATAAACAAAAAACAAACAAACAAACCAGCAAACAAATAAATAAAGCATGCCTCTATAAAAAAAAAAAAAAAAAAAAAAAAAAAAAAAAAAAAAAAAGACAATAATAGAGATGGAGAACAGCTTAGTGCTTGTCAGTGGTAACAGATAAAGGAAAGTGACTGGCTATGAAAGGATAGCTTAAGGGATCCTAATGATAGAAGTGTTCTGTACCTTTACAGTGGTGCTGGTCTCCTGAATGTAATTAAATTATATGGACCCAAACAGATGAATACATGTAGAACTGTTAGAATTTAAAAATAGTATATTATAGACAGGAGAAAATAAAGGCTTTTTTTTTTTTTAAAAAGAAAAAAAATAAAAAGCCCAGAACTGTTAGTCAATATCTCATAATAGGGCTTTCCTCTGTCTTGGAATGTGAGAATTGATCCCCTTTAAGATCTTTTAACTCAGGCTTTGGAGTATATTTTTTAACCAGTATCCACCCTTAGTCAACATTGTATCTGGAATACTGTGTTGGAAGGACCACTCTGTAGCTTTCATGAGATCTCAAGAGTTTCGTGACACAAACTCCTTTAAAAACCTGTTGCTCTGTGGGGCTCCCTGGTGGCACAAGGGGTTAAATCTCAGCACCATGAAGCTGTCTGCAGCCACTGCAGCACAAGTTGATCCCCAGCCAGGGAGGTGACCCACATGGCTCAGCAGAGCTCTCCTGTCTCACTCACTGCTCCCCTCAGCAGTGTATTTCAGTCAGTCTGCCTGTTCTGTTCCCCACTCTGTCTCTGGTGAGTCCTCTCAGCCTCCACACCTCTGGCCAGCACCCCAGCTCTTGTATCTTTAAAAATAAAGAAAAAAAAAACGTATTGCTCTGTGCTCTCAAAACAAATAATATGATGGCTTTTTTTTTTTTGTACAATAATAGTAAACTTAAAACTTACTGTTCTAAACGTCGGTACCAACAGAAAAGATATAGGGCAAAGTATTGTAAGCTTGAGAATGATAAAATCATGAATTGTTAAGAGAAGTTGAAGGTATTGCTGGTGCATTTTTTTCATTCAGTTAATGTTTATAGATGCCCATTGTATATTACACATTATACTAAGAATCGGTGTATGCTCAGTTTAAGGATCAAGGGGTCCAGAAATCATTAACAGGAGGAATAGTGCTATAGTTGGAGGTATGATCCAAGTACATTGAGAGTGTAGATGAAGGCCTGAATCTCCCTCCTAGAGGGAGATACCTGAGTCAGAAAATCTTGACCAGTTTTTTGTTATGCAGCCTTTATCAAGTGTTCAGTTAATGGAATGTACATGGCAATCTGTTTTTTAGTTAAGCCAGTCCAGTTGATAAATTTGTGTACAATTTTCTCAAACTTTTCCAGTGAAAGCAATTTTGTGTTCATTAACTCTTTTTTTCAAGGTGAGAAGGGAAGACTACGAGTTAATGACTTGTTCAAGGTCACACACTAAATAAGCATGTAGCAGAGCTGAAAATCAAATCCAGTTCTTTCTAACTTCAAAATTCATGTTCTTTCCTCTGATACATACATTTAAGAAACAGTCCTCATGGGGCCTCCCCGGTGGCACAGCGGTTGAGCGCTGGGTTGCGAAGCTGCCCGCGGCCTCTGCGGCGCCGGTTCGATCCCCGGCTGCTCCCCGGCCACCAGAGGAGGGTCCCACATGGCGCGCAGACCTCTCCTGCTGCCCGCTGCTCCCCTCAGCAGTGTGCTTCGGTCCTTCTGCCTGCTCTGCTCCCTGCTCTGGCTCTGGTGAATTCTCTCACCCTCCCGCGCTTCTGACTGTACCCTGTGCTTGTATAAACAAACAAACAAATAAATAAATAAAACGTGCCTCTATAAAAAAAAAAAAAAGAAAGAAACAGTCCTCATCCTTTGGAGCTTACAGTCTGATAAGCACTTACTAAAAAAGGAAAGATTAAGTTAAGGTAAAAGATAGTGTTAAAAGAAATGTCACCAGATTTGTTGAATTTGCTCCTAGGAGTAACCTGAATTTAAATACTTGCTGTCAGCAATTGGTTTTGTGGTCTTTGATAAGTTACATGATTTTACTGAACTCTTATTTCTTTACCTGTTAAATGGAAATAATTCTGGCTATCAGGACAAAAATCAAACAGTAAATACGAAATTCCTAGCACATAGAAGGCACTGGAGAAGAGACGACTATTATAAGTGTCTAGCTAGGAAACAAATTGGTCACCTCTCTGTGTTGTTTACATGTTAGCTTTTCTTTCTTTGACTCCTGGGACACCCAAGGTCTCCAGAGAGCCACTTGAAGATCATTTAAATGAATCCTTTCCAAAAAGTTTGTCTAGAAAGTACTTTTGCCTGATGGTAAGCTATTTTTGGGGAGCTTCTTGATTTCTTTTTTTCCCCCCCTTGCATTCTGCTCCTAGCTCTCTAAGAGCAGTGAGGTAAAGAAAAGAAACAGAGTTGAAAAAGAAAAGATCAGGCAACTGAACGTGTGAGGCACTGCAGAGCCCTTCCATTGCCTTTAACCACATGACAGTATCTGGGGGGGGGGTAATAGGCTATACTTCCCCAAATTTTACAAAATAACACTTTTTTGCTTACATAAAGTGCCCCCCCAACACAAACCCTTCATTGAAAGGCAATAATAAAAGCGTGAAGTTTGAAGATAAAGTTTTAATCTTTATTCTGATACTGTAACAGCTTTTTTTTTTTTTCCTCCCCGTGGGACCCTTGCTGGTGGCCGCGGTCGCTGCAGAGGCTGGTGCTCAACCGCTGCGCCACTAGGGGAGGCCCTGCTGTAACAGCTTTTGACAGATTTCATTTCTCTGGGATTCAGTTGTAAAAGGGGAATAGTACAATCTACTCCACCAAGTTATATTTTAGGATAAATAAGGTAATAATTGTACAGTATTTAATACACAGTAGTCATTGAATATGTTTAGTTCTTCCTCTTCCAAACATGAATTTTGGCCCTTCTTAAAGACTCAAGTTGCCTATTAGTCTTTTGCTTTTTCGGCTAAATGAATTTTAATATTCAATTCTCAATTGTAATTTAAGCATAGTGAACATGGCGACCATATCTGCTTGCTCTTTGTATATCTTGTGCTTTACAGGATAGGTGTCTTACCCTGAATAAGTCTCCCATAGTGGTTAAATGATCTTACCTGTATCTGTCTTCACCTGCCTCTCCGCTGGAATCACTCACATATTTGCAATCACTGAATGAAATAAGGAAGAAATGAAGTTCTTTAATAGGAAATCTTGGGTTTTATGTGATGAAACTCTCATAACTTGGACATTGAAAGTACCTCAGTACATTTTCTCCTTTAGGACTAGATAATGTTACCTGTATAGTAAGCCTTTCTTTAAAAATGGGCTTTAATTAGCATGTACATATATTAATCAGTCTTTATAACAACCTCATGAGATAGATAATGCCTCCATTTTACAAATGAGGAAACCAGAATTCAGAGCAATTAAATAACTGTTCAAAGTTCACACAACTAATGAGTGGCAGAGTAAGAGTCAGGTGTCAAATCTTTCAAACTCTTAAGGACTACTAATATCCAAAACACTACTGTCACGGAACTTTAATGAAACTCCATGGTATATTTAAATGATTGACTTTTGTCTCTTTATCACAATTAGGTTTTTTACTTTTTCTTGATGCAGAATTTTGTTTTCTTGGTTCTTTTACACCCTCCCCCCATTTCACCCCATTAGTTTTATTAAATATTTTTAAGAAAATACTTGGATGTATCTGATGTATGGGCTTCAGGTGGCGGTGGGAGATCCAACTGCTCTTACTGGAAGTAGGCTTTTAGCTTCCTAGTCAACTTCATATAACTTTGGTGTTTTCACCCATATGTGTCTGAAGTAAGCACATTCCATGTTTGGTCTCATGATACAGTACTCCATGTTATTTCTGTAAGCAGACGTGGAAATTTACCAGAATGAAATAAATTCTGTTTTGTCCTAATCAGAAATTGAGAAGATTCAGAAAGGGGACTCAAAAAAGGATGATGAAGAGAATTACTTGGATTTATTTTCTCACAAGAACATGAAACTGAAGGAGCGGGTACTGATACCTGTCAAACAGTATCCCAAGGTAAGCATAAAGTACCTCACTTCTTTGAGTCATCTTTGTGGATATGAGAGCCATGGGCCATTTTGTAGACTTGTGGAGATTGTGATGCGTCAGAAACTCAAGCCTGTGAAACTTCTCTTCCATACCTACGGTACTGTTTTTAATACCTGAAACATACAAGTTTATAACTAGTATAGCTGTAGCCAGCCAGGAAGGAAATTAAGCTCATCTTTTTGTTACCAAAAAAGAGTTTCTTTCAAATGTTGTTCAGACTCCAAGTTGAAAGCAAAAGTTGAACCCTGAAGGGTTGGTCTCTGTCAAAATATTAAACCTGCATTCTGAAAAAAGGAACTCTAACACAAATCCTTAACTGAATGCAGTTAATTTTATTTCCTACTCAAATTTTTACTTTTAAGTAAGTGCTTTCTTGTTCTTCTCCATCTTTTCTCTTTTTTTTCCCCTTTTTTTTCTGGAAAACAATCAGTTATATGTAGTTTAGCAAATTAGTACACCAAAGGGTGCCATTCTGAGGTCACTGCCATAAAAATGTTTTGGCAAGGTACTTAGGGTTGCCATGTGATGATAACGAAAGAGCACTAGACTACATCAGGAAACCAAATTCAAGGCTCAGCTTTCATATTTAGAACTGTCACTTTCTCATTGCATAATCTTAGGCTAATCATTTTATTGGTACAGCCTCAAACCATTTTTCAGTAAAATAGGAATGATAATCTTCTACCTATTTTATTTGGTTGTTAAAGATCAAATGAGATCATTAACATGGAACATGTGTATTTAGGGATCTGTTTTTCATTTCTGCAGTTTAATTTTGTGGGAAAGATCCTTGGGCCACAAGGAAATACAATCAAAAGACTGCAAGAGGAGACTGGTGCCAAGATCTCTGTCTTGGGAAAGGGCTCAATGAGAGACAAAGCCAAGGTAAGTTCAAAATCAGTGAAACAAGAAAACAATGCCTTCCATTAACATAGGGTTCAATATAATACCTTATGGAAGGTAATAGTTGTATATTTACAGAATGTGACTCCTTTAAACTCTTATAGACATAAGAGATGTAGAGCCAGTTAATTTACTTGCTTGGCAACCTGGGTCTGCTTGTCTGATTATTTTTTTTCTGGCTTTTGAGTGCATAATGGAAACAATTGTAGCAATTTTGGCATTAGTAAGCTTATTTATGAAAACTTGGAAAGGGAACTGGAGGTACTAAAACCTACCCAATGTAAAAAAACACTAAAATGTGGGCTTCCCTGGTGGTGCAAGGTGTAAAGCACAGCACTATGAAGCTATCTGCAGCACGGGTTCAATCCCTGCAGCCAGGGAGCAACCCACATGGCTCAGCAGACCTCTCCTGCCTAGCCCGCTGCTCCCCTCAGCAGTGTATTTCAGTCAGTCTGCCTGTTCTGCTCCCCGCTCTGTCTTAAATGAATCCTCTCACCCCCCACACCTCTGGCCTGTACCCCAGTTCTTGTATGCATAAATAAATAAATATTTTTTTAAAAAAATAAAGATTTAATTCTTGTCTATTTAAAAAAATACTAAAATGTGAGCAGTGCATTCCCTTTCTAAATAATGTGGGGAAATAAGATTAGTAGTGTGGTAAGTGCATGCGAGTCTGTGGATTAGTGACTAGTTTATTTTATAGACAGCTGGATTGTGGGGGCCTGCTAAAAGAAAGTATGCTCAAAGAACTATAACAACAGAACCTAATGCTTACTTTCTTCATGCCATAACCCCATATGCTTTGTACAGTAAGTGCCAAGAACTCTTCTAGGGCCAGCATTTTATTTTACTTTTTTTTTTTTTTTTTAAAGATTTATTTTGCCTCATAGATTGTGTCTTAACCCCTTGCGCCACCAGGGAGGCCTGGGTCAGCATTTTAGATGAGACATATCTGCTATATCCTAAAAACTTAAGCTTTCAGGCCTCCTGGTTTTATTTTGTTTTGTTTTGTTTTGAAGAATTTATTTTGCGTAGGAGAACTGGGGTGCAGCCAGAGGTGTGGGGGTGAGAGGATTCACCAGAGACAGAGTGGGGAACAGAACAGGCAAATTGACTGAAATACACTGCTGAGGGGAGCAGCAGGCGAGACAGGAGAGGTCTGCTGTGCCATGTGGGTAGCCCCCTGGCTGGGGATTGAACTTAAGTCATTGTGGTGGGCCTTCACAGTGGTAGCACTGAGACTTAACCCCAGGGCCACCAGAGAGGTCCAGGTCTCCTTTTTATTTTTATTTTTTTAAATAATAAAAGTTGACATTTATTATGTACCTGTCAATGTAAGTTCATTAGCACTCTTCCATTCAAATAATGTAGTCTGAATCCCTTTATTTGAATGTGAAGTGGACCTTAGTGACCATTTCACTGACAGATGTGGTGAAGGTGATGTTAATGTAACTGCAGAGATAAAATCATGATAAATACACATCCTTTTCTCCCCTAGTCCCCTTCTCTCACTGCAGGAAAATAGCAACCCTTGACATGAAGCTATTCAAGCATTTTTGGGCTTCTTTGACAAACGTCGTTTTCCCAGACCTTCTTCTCTAGTCTATTCATTTCTTACTAGGTGACTACAGTTAGTGCTGAAGTATGTTATTCTGACTAATGAGGTTTTCTCCTTTCTAGCCTGACTTCTTTCTTCCCATGGGCTCCCCAAACTAAGCAGATAAGAGCTAGTGATTAACATCTCTACCTGGGATTTAAAAGCAAATACTTGGCAGTAAATGAATGAATGTATGCTTGGCAAACATCTGTTATCTGAATGAAGGCTGGAATTAAATTTGCCTTTTCTATGCATTTTAACATGAATACCCATGAATATATCGGTGAATTCAAGGCAGTAGTTACTTTTAGCAGGAGACCAATCACAGATTTAGCAGGTTGTGTAAATTACTGTTCTCTAGAGTTTGTTTTACTTTTTTCTTACACTTGACTGTTTCTCTTGTTGGGATTATTTCTTACTGTCGCTTTGATCTAGTGATAAGGTGTCATTTTCTCCCTACTCCTTATGATGTGATGTTTTTCTGCCTTTTTCTGCAGGAGGAAGAACTGCGTAAAGGTGGAGACCCCAAATATGCTCATTTGAATATGGATCTGCATGTCTTCATTGAAGTCTTTGGACCCCCATGTGAGGCTTACGCTCTTATGGCCCACGCTATGGAGGAAGTCAAGAAGTTTCTAGTTCCAGTAAGGAAATCTGTGTTCTATCTTCTGAACAAGAGAGAACTGGGCTTTTGTGGTGTTATTAAGGCAGGGGTTCCCAGCCAGGGTCTCTGCGTAACTGGAAAACTATGTACCAAATTCTTCATTTATGTTAGTGTTTCTGAGGTGGTCTATTACTTGTGCCTAATTCTCAAAGCACAGTACCCCAAGGCCACTCTACTCCTTGTCTAATGTGGTTTTAGTTGTATACCAGTGTCTTGTATCCATGATGTATTTGTAATTTTAGTAGGTGGTTAATAACAATTTAACAAAATCTTTACTAAGCCAAAGTATTTTGATGTAGAACCTAGAACATTATGATAGAAATAGACTAAGATGGTCATAAACCCACTGCACTTAAGGGATTTGTGTTGTAAACTCTAGAAACTAGAAGATAATGGCAGAAAACTTATAGCATCCCATGTTAATGAGTTAAATTCTGGCCGGGGTGCATTCAGGGCTTTCTCTCCTGAAGGAATTTATTCAAGTAGAATTTGATTTGAAAGAGGCATGATTGTTAACAAGCTTGACTTTTGACGATATTAAACATTATTTTGTAACTTTTTTTCAGAAAGTAATTGAAACACAGGAAGTTGGGATAGATTGGGTTTCCTGTCTTGCTTATTACCACCTGATCAGAGGGACCAGTCTTTGAATAAGTAGAAAATGGCTGTACTTTTTATCTTTTAGCAAGGCCTATTGATCGTCAGAGTTAACATATTACTGTTGAATATTTCATCACAATTGATGAGTCTGGAACCTCAGGAAGCATTTGAAATACTATCCAACTAGAATTGAGTAGGCAATCACATTTTCATTGCTATAATTAGGAGGTGAGATAGAGTTCTTGGTTTTCTTGTGCATGTAAAATGAGGAAGTTGGAATTAAATGTGATGTCAGAGGATGTGAGAATTGGTAAAGCAAAAATGTTTAAGCAGTATGTGCCTATAATGTTGAGCTCCAAGGATTCCAACGCTGTCTCAGATGTCTCAGCAGCCACTTTGCTTCCAAGTACATCATCTTCATTGGAATGTTCAATATGAAACAGCCAACTTAAACTATCAGTATACTAGAGAAAAACTCAGAGCTGGTAAATCTTCCCTTGGGGTAATTATTTTCACTATTTTTGAGGTATTAAAGCATCCTGAGTTATGAAGAATTCCAGGGGAATCCACATCTTTATCCATTAGTTTCAGCATTTGTTTCAAAAGAGATAGGTTTACAAGACTTCTATGTAAGTGGATCCTCAAAAAAGAGGCTTGCCAAGGACATTTGGTTTCCTCAGTGTTAATGTGGTAGTTGGAAGCGTCTGAGTAAATGGGCTATCACTGATCACTTGATTCTTCATTGTGAGTCTTAAGCAGCAGTAATATGTAAGGTAGGAGACTAGAATCTTCTATTCTTAAGCTTTATCCACCTAGAATATATAAAAATTAAATGGCTCTCATCAGGAAATACGTGAAAAGATTTGCAAATGGCATTTGACTCAATTCTTCCCTCTTGTGAAGAAAAAAAAAGTGAGCCTATTTATGCATCCGTGACCAGAGCCCTCCATTTTCCCCTTAGAACCATTAACTGTACCAAGGAGACTTCCTGGTACGGTAGGAAGAACACTGGACTGGGAACTTTATCTGCATCATCTTGGACAAGTTGTTATTTCAGTTTTCTGAGCCTCAGGTTCTTTGTTCATCCCAAACATTTGTTAAGTATCTGGTAGGTGCCTAATATTATACTTGAGTCTGAGGTTACAAAAATGGCTCCTGAAAAGCCCACACTGCAGTGAGAAAGACAGAGAAACGATTCTAAAATGATGTGGTAAGTGCTTGGGTAGAGAAAATTACATGGTGCTGTGGGAAAAGAGTAAGGAGTGGGGTTGACATCAGAGAAAGTTTTTCAAAAGAAGTGATATTTTACATTTAAGTCTTGTAAGAGTGGACAAAAAAAGGCAGTAATAGTCTAATGAGTCAAAGCCTAAATTTTGGAAACAGGTAATTCCGAATTTCCGTCTAGAATCTGACACGAGGTCTATGTCCTTAGGCTGGTTTCTTTATACTTCCTGAAACTGTTTTTCCAGCTGTAAAAGGGGAAGATCTGCCTACTTATTTCAGGGTTATTTTGAAGATTAAAATGAAAAATCTGTATAAATCTTTACTTAGTGCCCAGCACAAGAAGCTTAATGGTAGTGGCTTTTATTACTCTAGGAAGAGGAAACTGTTGATGTTTGCAGGAGTGGATGTATAAGACTGTGCCAGGTTCTGAACTACGAGTTGTTTGGCATGGCTTAAAATGAGGTTATACTTGGAGAGAGGATAGAAGTGATCTGGAGAACTAGGCAAGGACCACATCATATAAAGAACTTCATCTGAATAATGAGGGGTCTGCCATCAAGACTTTCCTCAGATATGTGACAGGTAGGATGCCATTTGACTTCAGAGAATGACTGACCCAACACTTCATCTGGGTTTTCAAAATGTTCCTTAGCAGCCAAGGCTTATGTGGGCTAGATAACTTCTTAGCTGAAAATGGAGATGTTGTACAGTACTCCTTATTACTTTTCCTTCACAGGATATGATGGATGATATCTGCCAGGAGCAGTTTCTAGAGCTGTCCTACTTGAATGGAGTACCAGAGCCCTCTCGTGGACGTGGGGTGCCAGTGAGAGGCCGGGGAGCTGCGCCTCCTCCTCCACCTGTTCCTAGGTAAAAATAATGGAGACTGCCAGAAATGAGATATAATTTGACTGGTAGTGCCACCTCTTCTCTCCCAATGGTGCTCTTATTTCCAGCTTAGACAGATTTTCAGGATTTGTATGTTGCATCAAGAGTAGAATTGGGCACTTTGGCTATAGTCAGTACTGTGGTTCACGTGAAACTTTTGATCTTTAAATTTTGTACACTTTTAGCATTTTTTTTAAAGATTCATTTATTTATGCATACAAGAACTGGATGCAGGGTGGTGAGAGGATTCACCAGAGTGGGGAGCAGAACAGGCAGACTGACTGAAATATATTGCTGAGGGGAACAGCGGGCGAGATAGGAGAGGTCGGCTGCGCCATGTGGGTACCTCCCTGGCGGGGGATCGAACTCATGCTGCAGAGGCTGTGGATAGTTCATAGTGCTGTGCTTAATTAACCCCTTGCACCACCAGGGAGGCCCCATTTCTAGCATTTTTAAATGGTCTCTGACTTTAGAATTTTACCTTTTCTGACCAACCTTTATAGAATGTTAAGAACCTCCAAGGCACTTTACTGATGAGAGAGACATTTATAGGTCCACCTTGGAACCTAGAGAGTCTTCCAGTAAGGATCCTTTACTCACCCCCATGTGCCTCTGTGCTTTAATAATAGTCCACTGAACACATCATGAAATTATCTACCTCCAGAATTTGCAAGTAAATATGATCATGAATGTAGCCTGTTTGTAAAGAGTTTCATTTTAAATAAACTTTATTTACACAGGGGGCGTGGTGTTGGACCACCTCGGGGGGCTTTAGTGCGTGGTACTCCAGTGAGAGGAGCCATCACCAGAGGTGCCACTGTGACTCGAGGAGTGCCACCCCCACCTGCTGTGAGGGGTGCGCCAACGCCAAGAGCCCGGACAGCAGGCATCCAGAGAATACCTTTGCCTCCACCCCCTGCACCTGAAACATACGAAGAATATGTAAGAAGTTTGAACAATATGCCATTTCTTAATACCTAGAATGTTACCAAAGGAATTTGAATGAGAGTGACTTGGTTTTTAATAGGGGTGGCAGGGTCTGCCTGTAAGATCTGGAATCTGCCTTTTTCTTGCAGTAAATATATGTAGATTAAACAGGAAATAAGCTTTCCTTGATGTACAGAATTTTACTAAGGAATCTTCCACTACAGTTACTGCTGATAATACCAAAGTTCATCTTTAAACCTTATTTCCTGCCCACATTTGAAGGTTTTGGTATTTTTTTAAATGTATGGTTGGTTGGTTGGTTGTTTCACTTAAAATAAAAATTTATCTTAGACCTTATTCCACACTGGGTGGCAACATTTCAGAGGGAACTTCCGTGTTCTGTTAATCCAGAAACCTACCATACTACCATGGGCTTTAATTACCTTCCATATTCTGTGATTCTGACATTGTTTTACTTTATTTTTCTAGGGATATGATGATACTTACGCAGAACAGAGTTATGAAGGCTACGAAGGCTATTACAGCCAGAGTCAAGGGTGAGTCAGGCAGTGGAAGTGTTGTTTTTTTTGTCCTAGAGACCGGTGGAGGGAGTTGGAGGAACTGATTGGTTTAGACAGCACAGATTAAAGGAGCAGTGCCTTACCTTGGAGGATATTTCCTTTACTTTTGACACCTGTAAAGTATGTGCTTGGAAATGCAAATTTGGATAACCTGTGAATCTTAAATTGTAGTGCAGGATTTGGGAATAGCAGATGAAAAGTTCCTGACCTGTGGCTACATGGAAACAAAGGGGGAAATACATTTAAATTATTATAATTTTTTTTTTTAAATAACACAGCTACATTAAAGTTGTATAAAAGGAAGCTAGAATCTCACTACCATAACTTAGCTTCTTAAGAAACATTTTTTGGGTCTAATTGATTTTAGAAGTGTCTCATAATCCTACAGTAGGGATCGGACAGTTCTTTTCATATCTGCTTATTCTCTTTCAATGAACTGTTGACTGCATGTGTATGTACAATCTGGTTAAGATGGTCAGTTTTGGATTGTGCTTTAAAATTGTGTGATATCCATTTTTCCTTTGCTATAGTTATCCTTTTTATAAGTACTTTGTGCATACATGTTTTAAAAATATTTTGTGGTTTGGAGATGGAGCAGAATGAGCATTTTTCCCTATATTATACATAGTTAAATGACTAAAATATTGGAGTATTTTGGAGAGAGGAGAAACTTAAACATAGTTATGATTCTTACTCTGTCTTTGACTTTCAGGGACTCAGAATATTATGACTATGGACATGGGGAGGTTCAAGATTCTTACGAAGCTTATGGTATGTCTTTATTTCTGTGGTGAGACAGAATGTACAAGTAAGTGCCTGGGAGGATGCTGGTGACTGGGTTACTGGGAGTCAGTCACACACTTAAGGAGACACCTATAGAAGACCAAGAAGATATTGGCAGATGTAACAATAAGAGTACTACTCTCATTTAAAATATTTGGTATACAGTAAAAAGAGGAACCACTAAAGTGATTTAAAGTTGTACTACTCTTGGAAAGCTAAGTAGGTGTCTTAAGACACGGGCTCTGGGAGCCTCCCTGGTGGCGCAAGGGGTTAGTCTCAGTGCTATCAAGCTATCAGCAGCCACTGTAGCACAAGTTTGATCCCTGGCCAGAGAGGTAACCCACATGGCACAGCAGATCTCTCTTGTCTTGCACACTACTACCCTCAGCAGTGTATTTCAGTCAGTCCACCTGTTCTGCCCCTCACTCTGTCTCTGGTGAATCCTCTCAACCCCCACATCTCTGGCTTGTACCCCAGCTCTTGTATGCATAAATAAATACATTTTAAATAAAAAAGGACAGCTTAACAGCCCCATAAATTGGAGCAGCAGACTTTTAAGCTGATGTTGATTTTTTTCTACTTCTGGCCAGCAGATAGCTAATCCTAGCTATCTGGACCTTTGCTGCTAATACTTAGGCTATATTTATTGGTAGGTAACAACAATTTACACCTACCCAATTTGACACTTCTGACTCCTTCATTTTTAAAACCAAGTTTGGATCTCACCAAAAAGAATCTCAGTGTAGAGGAAATAGCTAGCTAAAAGGGAGCTATATGGCAAATAGCCAGAGTAAGTGGGAGGCAAGAGTAGTGCTGATTAGCCTCAGATCAGACTAGAGGAACTGGAACCCATCATGGGGCAGTACTGACCCCAAGCTCCTTACTGAGTTGGAGAGAACTCAACTCAGTTCTTGATCACCAGAGGGTTGCAGAGGCTGGTACGGCAACAGGACCAAATTGCCTTCCCCCAAGGTTTGGTTGAAAACATGTTACTCAAGAATGTCCTCAAGAGCCAATTACGGCCTGGTTTTAATGGGCCCCAGAGGGAGTGCCATGTGGCAGTGGATGCAGAGAAAGCAGCCTTTTAAATGTAAGGTATTTTCTACATTCCTGAGGGAATTCCAGAGTCCTTGGCAAAGGGCTCAGAGGTTGACAATTCATCTTAAGATACTAGTTGACTGTCTTCCCTTATCCCTAAAGGGGATAAAGGGGAGCGAGCCTCTTAGGGCTTCCTACAGAGATGACTTCAACTCCTCAGCACAATATGTAGTAGTCAATCAGCTTCTTGCCCAGGGAAACAGTTTTAACCATTGTAACTAAATGGTGCTGGACAGTTGCTGTCAGTAATACCAGACTATTCAATTCATATGTCACAATTTAGAAGGATTTAGTGTGATTGCCCCTGGGTATTTCCCTCCACTAGAGAGGTAGTGTAATGGGACCTATGTATGCATTTAACTAAATTGCATTTCTGTTTTGCCGGGGAAAAGACAACTGGAAAAGGTAGGCTTCTCTTTGTGCTTCTGGTATGTTGCAATTTATCTGTTTTGATTTCTTCCTTTACAAACAGAAAAATAAACTGTTGGTATGAAGAAGCCACTTAGAAAGTGATAGACATATCTATTATACAAGGAGTATAAACAGGCTTAGATAGGGTTCTTTGTGACTTTAGATCCATATAGAGGCTTTAGATCTGTAGTAATGGGAAGCAGATGTTTGTGACTACAGATACCTGGAGACATACTTGAAAAATGAACTGGCCTAAGTAAAGTGTGGGGGTGAGTGGGAAGAATTAAATTTATAACCACAAACCACAACCCATTTTCGTAGGAGGTCAACTCTTGAAATAAGTGATCACCTCCCTCAGGCTTTTTCTTTCACAAAGGCAAATGATTTGAGGATGTTCATCATGTCTGCTTTCTCTGGCTTATTGGCATGAGAAAGGAGATAATGAATTCTGAGTAATCAGTGCTGTATACAACGGGATTGTACTTCCCTCCACCAGAGCAGTGGGCCAGCTCTGCTAATAGAGGACCTCAGGAGATTTAGCCCTCGCTTTCTTCTCCCAGAGCACCAGAGGGTACTTCTCCACATTTGCTGTTGCGTGGAAAGGAAGCTGCCTGGTTCCAGTCTGAAAGACTTCTAGAAGTTGTCACCTTACCTGACACTGTTTACCAAATTGCTTTGGGAACAGGAAAGGGATCTGCCCTACTGAGATTGATTTCTTCCCTGAAATCAGTGTGTTTCTCTGGGTTTGGGGGGTTGGATATAGATTGTTACCTGCGGAGAACCTCTATTCTGGAGTAGACGCCAGGCCTTTTCAGAGCTGTTTCTGTTCATTCACTCAAAACTACCTTTCAGTTGGGAAGTTGCTTAAGTTCCTCAGGGGAGCCAAATAGGGTGAAAAGTAGGGACTACCAGGGAGGTGGCAAGACATTGAAAGTAAAGCAGTGTTGGGGCTCCCCGGTGGTGCAGTGGTTGAGCGCTGGATTGCGAAGCTGCCCGCAGCCTCTGCAGCGCCGGTTCGATCCCCGGCCGCCAGGCGAGGGTCCCACATGGCGCGCAGACCTCTCCTGCTGCCCGCTGCTCCCCTCAGCAGTGTACTTCGGTCCTTCTGCCTGTTCTGTTCCCCGCTCTGGCTCTGGTGAATCCTCTCACCCTCCCATGCTTCTGACTGTACCCCAGTGCTTGTATAAATAAATAAATCTTTAAAAAAAAAAAAGAAAGAAAAAAGAAAGTAAAGCAGTGTTTTTGGTGATCTTTACTAGGTGACCTATCCCTTCTCATTCTAAAATGCTACTAGCACTTGGTTTATAAATTGTTCTTGCTTTCCCCACAGGGCAAGATGACTGGAATGGGACCAGGCCGTCGCTGAAGGCCCCTCCAGCTAGGCCAGTGAAGGGAGCATACAGAGAGCACCCATATGGACGTTATTAAAATCAAACATGAGGGGAAAATATCAGTTATGAGCAAAGTTGTTACTGATTTCTTGTATCTCCCAGGATTCCTGTTGCTTTACCCACAACAGACAAGTAATTGTCTAAGTGTTTTTCTTCGTGGTCCCCTTCTTCTCCCCACCTTACTCCATTCTTAACTCTGCATTCTGGCTTCTGTATGTAGTATTTTAAAATGAGTTAAAATAGATTTAGGACTATCGAATTAATTTTTTAAGTGTGTAGATGCTTTTTTTCTTTGTTGTTTAAATATAAACAGAAATGTACCTTTTATAATAAAACAAAAGTTGAGTAAAAAAAAACACACAAACATGTTAGTTTCAAAAGTGACATTGCTTGCTTAAAGGTTCTGAAGTTAAGGCTTGTTAACTTTCTCTTAGTTTTGATTTGAGGCATCCCGTAAAGTTGTAGTTGCAGAATCCCAAACTAGGCTACATTTCAAAATTCAGGGCTGTTTAAGATTTAAAATCACAAACGTTAACGGCAGTAGGTGCCACCATGTAAAAGTGAGCTCAGATGTTTCTAAAAATGATTCCTTTAAAAGCACATGGCGGTTGAATCTTAAGGTTAAATTTTAATATGAAAGATCCTTATGAATTAAATAGTTGATGCAATTTTTAACGTTAATTGATTTAAAAAAGCAACAACAAAATTAGGTTTGTAAAACTGACTTTTTCATTATGTGGGTTTTGAAATCTAGCCCCAGACATACAGTGTTGAGAGATACTTAGCAGGGAGTAGGTTTTGAAGAGATTAATTGGGGGAGAAGGGCTAGTCACTTGAATTGAATCTGATGTAAAGCTTTTATCCAGAAACAAAATTTTTCAGTACTAGTAGTAATAATTAAATTTTTCAGTATTTAAAAAGACGAAGTATTTTGTCCATCTGAGATTCTGCACTCCATGAAAAAGCTCACTTGGACACTGGGGCCAAAAACTGATACTCTTAAGTTGACGATTGTCAATATCAAACTGTTCCCAAGTTAGCTAGTCAAGTATGTCTCAACACTAGCATGATATAAAAAGGGACACTGCAGCTGAATGAGAAAGGAATCAAAATCCACTTTGTACATAAGTTAAAGTCCTAATTGGATTTGTACCGTCCTCCCATTTTGTTCTTGGAAGATTAAATGCTACATGTGTAAGTCTGCCTAAATAGGTAGCTTAAACTTATGTCAAAATGTCTACAGCAGTTTGTCAATAAAGTTTAGTCCTTTTTTAATCAAAGTAAATGTGATGAATTGTCATTTTTTTTGGGTGGACAATAAAATAGTTTTCTCTTTCAAATAAACTTAAATTAACTCTAAAGTTAATGGTCTTGTTAAAAGTTGGAGACATTCTTAAAAATGGTGGGGGGATTTTATTTTAAGTTTACCAAAAAAAGTTTATTGAGTTGTTAAGTTTTAGTTTAAAAATAACCAAAGCTTTTTCACCCCCTGGAAGTTGTTGAAAGAAGTTCTGTTGAATCCTGTCATAAGCTGCAATTTTTTGAGAAAACTTCAACTGAGCCGAAACTTGTATAGGCTTCCATATATATATATTTATATATATATATAGGCCTCAGAATTTAAAGTGCCAGCCACTCTAGTTTGCATCTTCTGTAGAGCCCCTAAGTGGTCCTAAGACTGATACCAAATAATCTCTGCAACCTTGGAAAAGAGTAGCACCTGCATTTAGATGTGACAATTCAGCAAACATTGGGTGCCCTTAAGGATTTCCCTTCCAATCCCAGTAATGCTGTAATAAATCAGTTGGTCTCGGGCAGGATCTGGCATGAAAGATTGGCTCTCACCTCCTCCCTCCTAAGAGATCAAAAGGGAAATGATGGAATTGGTTGGCCTTGTTTCCACTCCTGATAATTCTCAGGGTTCTCATGCCTTTTCTAAGGGAGCCACCTAAACTGCTCGGGGGTGAAAAATCGTCTTGTATGAAGTGCCAAGCTGCCTGCAGCAGTGCATGATGGGCATTTTTTTTCTTTTTAAAACACACCAACAAAAAAATGTATTTGTAGATTGTGATAAAGTGTAAATAACTGAATTTTCAACCATGGTTTGAAGTCAGCTTTCAGGGCATTATGTCTTGTTTTGATGAAAAGAGATCACTCTATACCCCCCTTTTTAAAGGAAAATTATCGCAAGAGAATCAGGATGTGTAAAGCTAACATGCATCGCAAAAAACCAAAGGTAACCTAAATGTCTGATTTTAATAGCACATATTTCTCTTTTACATAAACTGTGACAGCAACTTGCATAAACAATTCTTTAGCTGTTAATTTTAATGTTAAAACTTTGCAAAACTTGTTTAATAAAAATAGCTGTAAAAAGAAAAACCATATGCTGCCGCATAAATTAGCCATAACTCTTAATAATCCTGCCCATCACAAGTGAATTGTAATGTAACCTGGGCACAAAGTCTGACATCTTAAATGACACATTGTAAAATTTCAATGATTATAGATTAGACCTGCTGCTCCCCAAAGTAAAGCTTTCTGCTGAGCTATTTTAAAATGTACAAGGATGAGCCCCTATAGGTCCCATATTGATATTCATAAAGAAATGTTACTTAAAATTTCTTTAAAGTTGCATGTTTCTCTCCTGTAATGTGTAAATTGCATGCAGGATCTCTATCTTTTATTTTGTATGTCTTTAAAATTCCCTCTTCAAAAGACTGATATCCTGCTTCTCCATTTTCAGGTGATTGAAAACTTCTGAGATATTTCCTAAAGCAGAATGGGTAATGAAGACCCATGTCAGGTATGTTCGGGTGCCTTTCTATTAAGGATATGAAACTCTTATAATATAAAACAGTTTTGCTGGGAGGTGGCCTATAAAGTGATCAATGGGCAAATTTTTTCTGCATGTTACGTCTATCATATTTGCAACATGACCATGCTTATCTGTTTATAGTCCCTATTGTATTTACTTGTAATAACTCAAGTGTCAATGTAATACCTGTTGTGTTCCACTCTATACATTAGTAACCTGATGAGGTACTGTTTCATCTGGAGTTCACTGGCTATAAGCAGCAAAGACAGTGAGTGCTAGAAATAAAATGGAATTTGTTAGAGGGATGTTGAGGGCTCACAGGTTTAGTGTTAAGGTTTAATTTTTTAAAAGGCTAGAAAATTTGGGGAACCAGAAAAGCTGCAAAGAATTGGGACACCAGTGGTAGACCACAGGAATAGTCTTGAAGCCATGACTATTTATTGTGAGTAAGCGCTAGACATTTTTTTATTTCTTTCTCCCCCTACTCAAGATTCAAGTTCTGGGGAGGGAATGTCAGACTGGATTAGCGTGAGTCACATGCCCATACTTTACTAGTATATCATAAGGAAAAGGGATAATGGGCAGCCAGGAAGACAATTGTTCAGTAACATCTACATCTATATTGTAAAAGAAGTAATAATGAGGTTAAATAACTTCTCAGCATCGTGTAATTTGTATGGTTAGTAATCAAGTCCAAGTTCGTGTGTGCCAGAACTTGACATCTTAACTCAAAATTATGCTGTCTTTATTTAGTCTAAGAGAGCAATATTTCTCACATTTAGAAGAGCCCTGGCATAAAGGATATTGTGGTGTATTAGAAAGGACATGGAACCTGAATCTAGGAGCTGTCTTTTGTTTAGTAACTTAACACAAGCAACTTATTTCCGCATCTGAGAAGGAAGATAGTGATCATATAAACCTTGCAGTGTTTGGTGAGCTGGTATGGCCAACCAATTCCATGCTCTATACATAATAAATGTTAGTATTTCTTCTCTAAGACAGTTGATCTCTTTTGTTTGGGTACGTGAGGGGTGGGGTGGGGTTGACAACTGAGAGTACTTTCCTCTTGCTTGAACCCTAAAAATAAGTTTTTAGGGTTAGGAGAGCTTGATACTGGTCACTCGAATGACTAGGAAATTTTAGGGAAAGTCCCTGAATGCGGAAAATTTAGTCTTACTTCTTTCTAGGATGAGCTTTCTTTTCTTTCTTTTTTTTTTTTTTTTTTTAAGATTTATTTATGCATACAAGAGCTAGGGTGCAGGCCAGAGGTGTGGTGGGTGAAAGGATTCACCAGAGACAGAGTGGAAAACAGAACAGACATACAGAATGAAGTACACTGCTGAGGAGAGCATCAGGTGAGACAGGAGAGGTCTGCTGCGCCATGTGGGTTGCTCCCTGGCTGGCCTGGGCATCAAACTCATGCTGCAGAGGTTGTGGACAGCTTCATAGGTTGTGTCTTAACCCCTTGCGCCACCAGGGAGGCCCCTCTAGGGTGATCTTAAGAGCAAAATTTGAAGAGAATTTTCCTCATTGACATGTAATTTGTACTTGGAAAGGCAAATTCTGTTGTTGGCATACGCAGGCCTTCCACTGACTGCCTATTCTGGGTGTACAGCTTAGTCAGTTGGCCCAGTGTTTTCTATAGCTTTCTGTCACTATCTGCGAACTTTTATTATATAAGCTTACGAGCCAAGCAAGATTGGGAACCTTTCCTGGCTCTGCCTCCTCACAGCCTTTACTTTTGTTTTGACAAAAGTAAAAATCCTTAACACTTTTCTATGCCTCATTTTTTGTCAAATGAAGTTGATGATAATAGCATAATATCCTAAGCAGTTAATAAAGATTACTTCATTTGACCATTTTAAAGTCTACAATTCAGTGGATTTTAGAATATTCACAATGCTGTACAACTGTCATCACTATTTAATTCCAGAACATTTCTGTTAACCCAAAAGAGAAACCCTGTGCCTCTTAGTAGTCACTACCAATTACTTCTCTCCCCAGACCCTGGCATCTTCTTTCTGTTTCTGTGGATTTGCCTTTTCTGTAAATTTCATATAAATGGAATCAGATAATCTGTGCCTTTTGTGTTTGACTTCTTTCACTCGCATAATATGTTCAAGGTTCATCGGTGTTACAGCACATATCAGGACTTCATACTAGCGATAGGAAACAAATTACTTCCAAAAGCAGCTTATTTCATTTAAGACAGCTCCACATGTTAGATTTCCCTAGTTTGAATGAGCCCTATGTGTTAGTAACTGAAACCAGTTGTCCCTTGTACCCCTGAAGGAAAATCCTTTCAAGCATTTGAAAATATTTTTCAAATTTGTTTTATTTCCCATCTCTAAAAATTTGTTAAACTTGCTAGATCTGATTTTCAAGGAACACTTTAAGTTTGGATTTTATATACTATGTATTGTTTAATGTTTATTCATATTTATATGAATACCTGTTAAACATTGCTGCAAACCAGAGGTGGTCCATAAAGTCTACCAGTTTTCTGCCTGTTTAGCTTTCTAATAGAAATTAAAGGACTTAATAGGATTATTCAGATATAGTTCATATGCCATATATCCACCCATTTAAAGAACAGTTAAGGGACTCCCCTGGTGGCGTAGGAGGTAGAGCACCACCACGCTGTGAAGCTGTCCGCAGTCTCTGCAGCGCTGGTTCAATCCTGGCCGGCTGTGAGGGTCCCACTTGGCGCGGCAGACCTCTCCTGTCTCGCCCGCTGCTCCCCTCAGCAGTGTATTTCAGTCAGTCTGCCTGTTCTGTTCTCCGCTCTGTCTCTGGTGAATCCTCTCACCCTCCTGTGCATCTGGCCTGTACCCCAGTTCTTGTACAAATAAATAAATCTTTAAAAAAAAAATAGAACAGTTCAACATAAGGTATCTGGTGAAATCTTGTTTGGATGATTTGTTCCTATTACTCCCCAATTCTTTTGCAAAAAAAAAATCTTTTTAAGTGTACAATGTTGCTTAGTACATAGAGTTGTATAATCATCAACACAGTCAACTTTAAAGTGTCTTTATCACTTTAGAAAGAAGACCCACATCCTTTAGTTGTCTTCCCCCCATGGCACTTACCCGCTCCACCTTACCATCCACAAATCAACTTTCTGTCTGTCAACTTGCTTGTCCATCTCTTATGAATAGAATCATATAACATAGGATCTTTTTTGACTCTCTCCTTTCATTCAGCATATCTTCAATATTGATCTTCAATATTGATCAGTACTCTGTTTCCTTTATATTGTCAATTACTATTTCATTGTATGCCTGTACCACATTTTATTCATTTACCCAATGATAGGTATTTAGGTTGTTTCTGCTTTTTGGCTATCATGAACACTACTACTATGAATAATACTGCTATGAATATTTGTATATATATTTTTGTTTTCAATTTCTTTGGTATGTATCTTGGAGAGGAATTGCTGGGTGATACCATGTGTTTTTTTTCTTTTTCTTTTTTTTTTTTGAGGGACTGCTGAATTGTTTTCCACTGGCTACACCATTCCCATCAGCAAAGAATGAGATTTCTAAATTCTCCATATCCTCACCAACACTTGTTATTTTCTGTTTTATTTATCGCAGCCAACCCACTGGATGTACATTGGCATCTCATTGTGGTTTTGATTTGCATTTCCCTAGTGACTAATGTTGAACTTACCCTTGTTCTTACTCATAATTTATCTTCTTTAGAGAAAGATCTGTTTAATTTTTTGCCAGTTTTTAAATTGGGTTATTTGTCTTTTTTTTTTTTAATTATAAGTTCTTTTTATGTTCTGATGATAGACCCATATCAGGATGTGATTTGCAAGTATTTTCTACCATCTGGTTCTCTTTTTATTTTCCTTGAAATGTAAGTTTTTTTCATTTTCATGAAATCTAATTTTGTAATTTATTTCGCTTGTGCTTTTGCTATCTTAGGTTAGAAGCCGTTGTCTCATTTAAGGTCTCATTCCTTCAAATTTTATAGTTTCAGTTCTTACACTTAGGCCTATGGATTTGTTTTGCATTCTTTTTTATATGGGGTGGGGTAGAGCTTATATATTCTATTCTTTTCTATGTGGATATCCAGTTGACCTAGCACCATTTATTAAAAAGCCTATTCTTTTCCCCTATTGTTGGCACCCTTGTTGGAAATCAGTGAACCATAGACTCTACTGCCTTTTTTTTATTTTTATTTTATTGATGCAAATAAGAAATGGGGTCTAGGCCAGAGGTGTGGGGGTGAGAGGATTCACCAGAGACAGAGTGGGGAGTAGGACAGCCGGTTCTACGGAAATACACTGCTGAGGAGAGCAAGCAGACGAAACCGGAGAGGTCCTGCACCATGTGGGCTAGCTCCCTAGCCAGGGATCAAACTCGTGCAGCAGTGGCTGGTGATAGCTTAGTGCTGAGACTTTAATAAACCCTGTATCACCAGGTAGGCCCGACTCTACTGCCTTTTGAAGTAGGTATTACTTAAAGTGATAAATACCATTTGGCATATCATAGTTACTCAGTAGCAAATAATACCTGACTGGATTATTTTGGCATCACTAAGAGCTAGTAAGTTGTGTCTGGAATTTGATCCCAGGTATGGGTGCCTCCAAATCATGTCTCTATGCTGTGTATTATAGTGCATGTTGCTAAAATGGAAATGAGGCTGTTCTCGCTTACCATGACTGGCCATAGGTAGTTCTCCAAATGCTTAGAGACTAAGCTCCAACGTGACCTCTCACCATCAATTTCCTTTGCTCCTCTCCCCTCTCCTTCAAGGGTTTCCATGGAGTGTCCAGGGGGCTCTTGCATTGGCAGTTGCTACTAAAGAACACTCTTAATCCTTCCTTACCTAGGGATATTCAAATAACCTAAGGATTTATTCACTCTTGTTTTCTCTCCCAGCCCCTGCCCCATGCTAGGAATGAAGGTAAAGAGGGGTCAGGAACTGCTGAGGATGAAACAGACTTAGAGACTATTTCAAGATAGTAACCACAGAGTTAGATCCCAAAAGGCTTTTTGCCTGCAGAGTGCTCCTGAACCAAGTAAACACGGGCCATAGAGGTGGTAATAGATGTTTTGCTTGGGTTTTTTAAACTCAAGTACTCCCTTCATGGTCTCAAATCCTGAAGCTCTGTGTCCCTCAAGGCTTTGCCCAGAAGTCAATTCTGGGTTAAAAATACATAAGGTGGCATGTGAACTACCTCTTTGTTGATACATTCTTAGGCTTTGTGTGAGCCTATCTAGGTTGCTGTTTGCTGGCAATGACTATTAAGTAGTCATTTAAATATTTTATTGTGATGGGCCTCTCTGGTGGCACAAGGGGTTACATGTCAACAAAGCTATCCACAGCCACTGTACACAAGTTGGATCCCTGGCCAGGGAACTAACCCACATGGCATAGCAGACCTCTCCTGTGTTGCCTTCTGCTCCCCTCAGTATATTTCAGTTACTTTGCCTGTCCTGCTCCCCACTCTGTCTCTGGTGGATCCTCTCCCCCACCCCCCGCACCTCTGGCCTGCACATATGTATAAATAAATAAAAATAAATCTTTTTCTTTCTTTCTTTTTTTTTTTTTTAAGAGAGCTGGAATGTAGATCCAATTCTTGTGCTCCATTTAGCTGCCTCTGGTCTCTCCTCTGTACCCAGAGTGGTCACAGCTTACGCCAAAACTGCTTCTGCTTTTGTACAGAATGAGTGTCCCTAGCTTGGTTTCCAGATTCCTGAAGTTGAACGAATTGGATCCTTCTACGTTTTCCCTTTCCTCTTTCTCTGGACCCTCCTGTACCTCTTGATCTCCAGATTAATAGTTGTTGCATGTTTAATATCCCATCTGATGAATACAGCAGACACACTGGGAACAGCTGTCTGAGACATCAGTTGTTCAGGAGGGGAGGGAGTATGTTGTACTACCTAACTACTCATTCTTTTGTTTCTGTAGACCAGTTAGATCAAGGGCCTGTGCTGGGCATAGGCCTGCTCCTTTTGTGGCCTGATTACTGCCCTAGGCTTCCAAGGAGATTGCATTCAAGCAGCAGACCAAACCCTTTTGGGAGATTAATGAGTAGCCAACATGTTCGCTGACATTAGGAATCAACTTTCCAACCCCTGGGCTAGAGCTGTTCATATATAACCTGTTCTAGCTCTGGGGTGGAGTATCTCTTCTCATCCAGTGTCCTGTCAACTAAGAAAATTAAATTTCATAACTATACTGTTGACTTCAGCTTCTTCACATTCCTTGATTCTCAGCATTAGATAATTCACTCATTCCTAGCCTAAGCGGTAGTAAATGTCCTTGACAGCATATTAAGCAGGAAACAGGCAAGTATGAGTTTTCAAATACCAAGTTATCCCTGTCCTTCTCTCCATCTATTCTCAAGAACTTTTAGTTTCAAAAAGGCCTTGTTGAGTTCAGGGCAATTGGAGGAAATTGTGGGGACAACCGACAAAAGGCAGCTCATCTGCAGTGTTCAAAGTATGAGGCATGGCTAGGCTATCAGCCCAGATTAATTAGCTAAGTAGTATAGCACATTGCTGGAATTTGAGCACTATTTCTGTTCTTAATACTGGCATTAAGATGCCTGAATTAACTGTTTCCTTGTCCATCTTTCCCACCTCAGGATAGCCAGTCCCTTCCCCCAGGACCATGGATTATGTGAGAATGAGATACAAGAGTCTGGGTCAGACTTTATCATTCAAAAAGTCACCACTTGTTGCTATGCATTTGAGGAGTGTAAACCTATCCTCCGAATCACATACAGCGTTGTAAACCAATATCACCTCAACAAAATGAACAAGTATTTCGCTTCAGTTTAAAAAAAAAAGTTTGCATCAGATAATTCTCTGGTATCTTCCAATTCCTGTAGCTTCATGCTTCCTATCTGTGGCCCACCTGTAGGTATAAGATGGTTGCTTCCCATCTCTCAGGCTCTCTGGAGTTGGAATATACAGGCTCTCTGAGTCTGCCCTAGAGAAAGAGAAATACTTTGTATTCTTACATGATAATTCATAAACGTCTCTCCAGATATCAGTATAAATTATCCCTTTCATTCATTTGCATACATACACACACACACACACACACACACTCACTTTTGTATATTGGGACACCTGCTATATGCTAGACACTGTAGATTCAGTGGCAAGTAAGACAGAATGATCCCTGGCTTGCTTCATTGTGCTTACAATATATTATGGAATCAGATGCTAAATGGGAATTAAGCTCAGATGTTGTAGTTGGGGTAAGTGCTGTGGAAGAAATGAACAGGGTCTTTGAGGGCATACAATAGGGAGCAAACCTAGCTCTGGGATTTTCTTTGAGGAAATGATGTGTAAGCATGACATCTGAAGACGAGTTCACTGGACAGATAGTTTGGGGAAAGGACATGAAACTCCTTTTTAGGCAAGGGTAGAACTTTCTGAGATCATCACTGAAGACCATTGAATCCGGGAATGAGGGATGACATGGTTATATTTCTGTTTTTTAAACTTCACTTGCTCCTGAGTAGAGAATAGACAGTGGGGCCTACTGGGAAATTTTGTGTTGGCCCAGACAAGAAGTGAGGAAGGCAATGAGTAGGGCGATATCAGTGGACATGTAGTGTAGTGAAATAGATTCAAAATTTTTAGGAGATAGAATTAACACAATTTGATGATTGATCAGATGATGTGGGAGGAGAAAGAGGTGTTAAGGGGAGGGCCCCAGGTTACTGGTTTGAACAAGGAAGAAGGGAGGTGGTGGTAGAGAATTAGTAGTGCCATTTTTTTAAAAGATGGGGAGAACTGCTATGCACTTTGGCATAAGATCAGGGCCTTGCCCTGTGCCCCAGGCTTAGACTATATCTCTCCTGTGGATAATTCCTGTGGCTGGGATGAATCCCTCATAAGTCCAGAAAAAAGGGATCCCTCAGCCTAGGGTTGAGGTCTACTCCAATTCCTTTCTTCGTAAGGTCTTAAACCTCATTTATCTTTTCACATCTCTGGAAGAACAGAGAACATTTTTCCCTTTGTACAACCGGAAGTCCCAAAGGCTTGATTTCTGCCCTAATCACTTAGCTCAAACATGGCTAAGGATAGGGGCATCTGTGAGGTGTGAGGCTCCATTTTCATTGCCTGAACAACAGCAAAGAGAGAGCGAGTTCATAAGCTGTGGTCTTCTCTTTCTACCTAGCTTTATACCTGGAATCCTTGTACTGAATGAAACAACTGGAGCAGGGTGGGAAGATTGTAAGGGAAGGCAGCCTGGTCGAACGGGAGGCTGGGAAAGCCCCCTGATACAGCGATTTCATGTTCCTTAATTTTCTGCCTGTGTCTTTGCAGCCATCAGAGGACTCTGGAAACCAGGAGAACTACCTGCTGTGTCAAGGCTGGCCTGAGGGCATTTGCTGAGCACAGAGAAACCCAGGAGAGGAGCTCCACAATCTTTTCCCACCCTACCTCTTGATCTGTCAGATTTACCCACAGAAAGCCAGCCAGAATCCCCTAAGAGTCTCTAGGCCCAGAATGGAATCCTCAGGGCTTCAGGAGACTTTGGTACTAACAGATAACCTGTCAGGACTTCTCAAAAGTTGAAGGAAATTAACAATATCCCCACCACAATCTCCTAGATATGAATAAACTGGCAACCCCTACTGTGCCATTTCCAGTGTGACTGCTACCCTTAGCCTCCAACAGAATTGGCTAGAACACCTTGCTGCCACCACCTGTTTCCCACCCTGTCACACCTGTGCTGTGGATGCCAGCCTGGGCACCCTTGCATCCTCCAGACAGCTCCCAAAGAGAGGCTGGTCACCACCTCTGTAGCAGGCTGAGGAAAGCCAGGTGGAAGGTGTCATTTACTCTGGGAGGGTTAGTTAACCCTTGAGCCTGTTTGTCCTTCTGTGTTGATTACTGACATCGGAAAGCTTTGGGAAGGTAAGGCTTTTCTGCACTGCCCTTGTACCTTCCTCAGCCCGTACCTGACAGTGAGGCGCTCAAGAAAGGTCTGGCCAGGTGACGCCTAGTCCCACTCTGCTGACGGCTGTGGGCTGTGCAGCGCCAGCCCTGTCTGGGACTCCCTCGGCGGCGTGGGACGTTCTCTGCCGGGATGGGGATGTCAGCCTTTGATAAATTTCTGGCTGCTATGACCTGTGTTCTAGGCTGATTTTACAGGGAGCAGAATTCTAGAGAAGTCAAGAATCTAATATCACACGCTTCCTTTAGTGCCTTCTGTTTATCCTAACGAGGGGAGCAATGGGATGGGAGCGCGTTGGGGAGAGAATCCAGCTGCATTTTCACCGTGCCCAATGTGTTCTGATGAGCTTGGAGTCATTCCTAGCAGGAACTCAGATGGAATTCAAATGCAATCAATTGATTTACTTTGGGCAAGTTATTTAACCTCTTGAGCCTGTTTTTATCTTCATATTGATTACTATGAATAATAGTTAATTTATTTGAGTGCTTAGTATGTACCAGGCACTATGTCAAGCATTTATATGCATTATTTCACTTACTCTGGTCTCATTTTACAGATAAGGAAATGAGGCTCCAGGGGCATAAATCACTTGTCTAAGTTAAAAAAGGTGCTGTCATACTTAATAGCCCAGTCTACCTCTTAGAGCCACATGTACTTAGAAGTAGTGAAGCATGTCTATGTGAGAGATTCATCTAGATTGATAGACCATCCAGGTTCACCCAGAACTGAGAAAGTTCTAGGATGTGGAACCTTCAGCTGGGTTTACCAGGGAAGTTCCAGGTAAATCCAGCAGGTCCAGTTTGTTACTCTTTGCATTGAGAAACTGCAACCAGGACTGGCCACAGACTGCCTAGGAGTTCACAGGGCTAAAGCAAAAATAGACCTAGGATCAATTCTTACTTCATTTGCTGTGTATTTTCCTGGGCCTGTTTACAAATACAGAAAAATGTCTCTCCACATAATGGGATCTGAGAAACACATGAAATGTCTGAAATACCAACCACAGGGTCTACACATAACTACTCAACACTTAGATTTCCTTCATCTTGTTGCCTTGTGTTTCATACCATTGTGTCACCTGCCACATCTGTCACATACAGCCTCTCATTACCACTTGCAGCCCTAGAGTTCTTCTAAGAGCCCTGACTTAGTGGGCTTAGCCCACCACCCAGCTGCCCTGTATATCAGTCATCTCGACAGAAAGCAGAGAAAGAATGACATCAGCCTTCCTACCATCCAAAGCCTCTGGACTGTTTTGAGCCATAAATATTTTAGCTGGGTCTTTCTCTAGCTGTTGCCTGGGTGATGGTCTCTCAAGGGACTGAGGTGGGAGTGTGGGGGCAGGGCTGGCAGCCTGGAGCCTAGCTGCAGAGCTGGCCCCAGAGGCAGATTTGAAGCCTGGCCAAGAGCCGGTGCTTGCTGCAGCAGTTTGAAGGCTATTGCTTTGTCTGTCTTCTCTTCCCTAGGCCTTTCAGCCTCCTGCTTCCAAGACCAGCTCAGCCCTTGACTGCTACTTGATAACTGGGTAAATTGCTAGATGTCCCTGTGCTTTTCACTCTAAAATCTGCAACAGAAAAATCACTACTCACAGGGCCTCCCTGTTGGTGCAGAGTTTAAGTCTCAGCACTGTGAAGCTATCTGCAGCACAAGATCAATCAATCCCTGGCCAGGGAGCTGACCCACGTGGCACAGCAGGCCTCCCGTCTGGCCCTCTGCTCCCCTCAGCACTGTGTTTCAGTCAATCTGCCTGTTCTGTTCTCTGGTTGAATCCTCTCACCACCCTGCACCTCTGGCCTACAGCTCAGCTCTTGTATGCAAAAATAAATCTTTAAAGAAAAATCACTAGACTCAGTGTAGTTAAGTGGGGAAAAAAGAGGTAAAGGAGAGGTAAAAATCAAGTCATGATTGGAGAAGCTAGGCCTCATAGCCCTTTCTGGTAGATGTAAATTAGACAGTCTTAAAACAGTGTTGATGCTGCTCCAAAGACTGTCAGATGTGGCACTGCCTCCCTGTCTTCCTCAGTTTCTGTCCGTAGTTCCTTTTCCTAAGGTTTCTAGGAGCAGCTGGACTTTTCTGACCTGGCCCCAGGTACTCTAAGGAGTTGCACCCAGTCATGTTGATGGAATCATTTTTTGCTAATGGTATAAAAATAAGCCCCCAAACTAGATCTGACTCATAGCCTCTATGCTCTCCTCTCCAGTAGACTCCCCTCCCCAGGGGTACCTGTATTCATGCCCCACACACCTACTATTGAGAAACTCTACAATGGATCAGAATTGCCCATCCCCTGCCCAGTCTTGCCCTTAATCCTCTAGGGCTGGAGCAGTGAATTCCTTTGTGTGGGGCTCCCTCTGGTGGTTGGTATGTGCACTGCAGGATAATATGTGAGGCTGAATTGCAGGCTACCTTGATGGGGGGGGGGTGGTTTGCTCTATTCCAGGGTGAATCTGTCCCCAGCTCCAAATAACATTTCATTTCTTATGTAGGATATTTCTGCCTTCTGCTTTTCTCTGTCATTAATCCTCATAATTCAGTGATACAAGGATAGTCCTAATTATAAAATGAAGCAGGTTTAAAGAGGTGAAATGAAATCCAAACTTTTTCCTGTTTATAGCATTCAAGATCTTCAAGTGATAATGAGCTTTCCACCTTCAAAAATTGTCCTCAAGTCAAAATGGACTTGCTCTTCTGGGATATAGCATACCTCTGGACCTTACGTTATATCCAAATGTATTATCTACCAAAATTCTATTCATTTTTAAAAAGCTGAAGAAATGCAGTATTTCTAAAACTTGCACATACTGTGTTTATAATAACAAATGCTGTGAGGTATGGGGAGACTAATGACACATGGGAGTGAGACTGGCCCAGGAGATAACAAGAACATGAAGGCACCTGGTTCTCTTTTAGTACAAATTAGATGTAAGTATTTCTGCTGGCAGAGGAAAGTGAGAGCAACTCCCAGAGAAGCTAGAACAGAGGTGCAGGTAAGATTTCAAAGATTTATTTATTCATGCATACAAATCTTACATTTCTTTCTACTTCATAATATATCCATGTTTTAATAGTAGCCAATACTTAAATAGCACCTATTGTGCACGAGTGAAGGCCCAGGGACATTTAGCAATTTATCCAATATCAAGTAGCAGTCAAGGGCTGAGCTGGACTTGGAAGCAGGAGGCTAATGGGCCTAGGGAAGGGAAGACAGAGCAACAGCCTTCAAACTGCTGCAGCAAGTACATAGAATAACAACTTTACCATAATCTCATAAGACAGGCACTAATACTAACATCACTTTACACTGAGAAAACAAGCACAGAAAGGTTAAGTCACTTCCTAAAGTCATTTGATTCCATGTGAATCTGGTTCAGAGAAGGCTCTGGATAATTACCCTTTAATATTGAAAATACTGCCTTATATTTCCATGAATAAGACCAACATTCCAGAAAACAGTATTGTATTTTAACCCGTGGTTTCAATACCTCCACGCAATACCAGGGATTTGCATACTCAACTTGAAAATTAGCGATCTGGAGGGCTGTCCTAGTCCCAGAATAACATGAACAAAAGGAGATCCCAACTCATGACACATAACTGGCATAAAGCCAGTGGCATTTCCTCAAAAACTCAGACTTACGGAAAATCCAATAGAGAGTAAGCTAGCCAGGACATGAACATGTAGAAGAGGGATGTGAGGCCTTCCAGGTCACAAAACAACTGAGATTTGTGGTCACATCTGGAGGACAAGAACCTAACATCCTGACGTCTTTTATTACTTTCCCCAGGGAGTCTAGGAGAAGTGAAGGGGTTGAGACCCTAGATGTTTCTGTGAGATACAGGGATAGAATTGAATATTCATCCTGAGATCAGTTTGCAATGTCTGACTGAATATACTAACAAAATCCATAATGGCCACAGGTGTGGATCCAGAATTTCAGATGATGCCATTGAATGTCACTGGATTACTTGACTTTTCTATGCTTCATTGTCAAGTTCTTTCAAAGAAGTGACACAACTCCAAGTTTCTAACCTACTTAGCAGTCCCCGAGGTCATGGTGGTGGCGGAAGGGGTGGGGGAATCACTTCCCAATATTTGCAGAAAAGATCATAATATTAATCCCATTTGGCGGGACTTGGGTCATGAGTCATTAACATGCTGCCCTTCCTCCTCCCTCCATCCCACCCCTGCCCCCACCTTCCAGTCACTGTAACCTGAGGGGGTAGAGATGGAATGGTTAGATTCACCAAGGCAGTCTTACTGCAGAGTAAGGCAGTTCCACCAAACCACATGTACTCTGAGAATGAGCAAGCAAGCTCCTCAATGGAAAACCACAGCGTTCTTACCAAAAGAAAGGAATGAATGCTGGGCAGAAAAATCAATAGTTCACCTGTACAGGTGGTTAGGAGCTACAGGCAATTCACGGCATGTATAGCGGTCCATTTGTGTGGCCTTACCCATTTATACTAAATTGTATGAAAGCCCTCAAATCAGTTCATCGAACATTTCGTGAGTAGTTGCCATGCACAAGGCCCAGGGCCTTCAACATCATAGATGCACAGCAGGACATTCCTCTGCCTTCAGGCCCAGTGAGGCAATTAACAGACTCAAGCTATTACTTCCTCCCATAGGACTATAACGGAGTTCCTATCCCTCACAGAAAACAGCTTTGCTGTCATGTACCATGAAATCTCCCATTAAGAGTCACCTTCCATTCATTCACCTGAACTTGCATGCATGTTACATATTGGACTGTCAAGAAAAGTCATGACATATTTTTTCTGTTTTTTAAGCAAAAAGTGCATCATGACTTTTCCAACAACCCAATAGTATAGTAGCACTGTAGGTACACCGTGCCAATATTCTCTCTGTCCACCTAGTAATGAGTGGCATTACTGTATCTCAAGTACCCAAGGATATAGTCGATGCTCAAAATGCTTGTTTGTGGGCCTCCCTGGTGGCACAGAGGCTAAAGTCAGCACTGTCAAACTATCCCCAACCACTGTGGCATGAGTTCAATCCCAGGCCAGGAGCTAACACACATGGCACAACAGACCTCTCCTGTCTTGCCTACTGCTCCCCTCAGCAGTGTATTTCAGTAGATCCAGCTAATCTGCTCCCCACTCTGTCTCAGGTGAAGACTTGGACCCCTTGCATCTCTGGCCTAGACCCCAGTTCTTATATGCATAAATAAATCTTTTTGTAAAAAATGCTTTTGACAACAGTTTCTATGAATGGCCGAGCCTCAGTAGTACATGGACTATTCCTGAAATCATTTCATCAGCCAATTTGCCACTACCTGAGTTCAATTCAACTAATATTCATTGAATGTTTCTCGTATGCCAGGTAGTGTTAGGCTTTGAGGATTCAGAAACAAGATGCATTTCAAATATAGCACTCTCTAAAGAGGCCAGAAGCAGTTCTTTTACCAAAATTTGTTTGGTCAAAACACAGACTCAGCCCTGGTTTCTTTTTTTTTTTTTTTTTTTTTAAAGACATTTTATTTTTACAAGAGCTGGGATATAGGCCAGAGTTGCAGGGGGTGAGAGGATTCACCGGAGACAGAGTGGGGAACAGAACAGGCAGACTGACCGAAGTACACTGCTAAGGGGAGCAGCCAGTGAGACAGGACAGGTCTGCTGTACCATATGGGTTTCTCCCTGGCCTGGCCAGCCACAAATCAAACCCATGCTGCAGAGGCTGTGTTTTGCTTCATAGTGGGGTGCTTAACCCCTTGAACCACCAGGGAGGCCCTCAGCCCTGGTCTCTACATTGTGGCCTGCTCATTCTCCCTCAGAAGGGAAGAACTGACTTGGTATAAAATCTATAATTTCCATTTGGCGAGGCTGAAAACTTTAGAGTAATCCTTTAAAAAAAATGATTTATTTATGCATAGCAGAACTGGGGTACAGGCCAGAGGTGCAGGAGGTGAGAGGATTCACCATAGGCAGAATGGGAAACAGAACAGGCAGCCTGACTGAAATACACTGCTGAGGGGAGCAGCCAGCAAGAGATCTGCTGGGCCATGTGGGTTGCTCCCAGGCCTGCCAGCGATCAACTCATGCTGCAGAGGCTGTGGATAGCTTCATAGTGCTGTGCTTAACCCCTCATGCTAACAAAGAGGCCCTTTAGAGTAATCCTTGATATTTCTTTCACACATCTGTATAATCTGTCAACAAATTCTGTTGACTTTATCTTCAAATCCAGGATTCAACTGTGACTCATCAATGTTGTCACTTAATCTGATACAAATCATTGACCTCTCTTACTATGATCATTGCCATGGCCTTCTGTCTGGTCTCCCTGCTTCCACCTTTGTGTCCACACAATCTGTTTTCACACAGCAGCTGGAGTAAGTCTAAAAAATGAAAGTTCAGATCCTCTAATAAGTCCCCACCTCATTCAGAATAAAAGCCACCTGGCACTACAGGAGCCGCCATCTCTTCTCATGTCCAACTGTCATGTCTACCCCATCCCAGCCACAGTGGCTTCCCCGCTGTTTCTTAAATACATAGAGCACACTGGCTACCTGATGGCCTCTCCTACCACTGACCCTTCCTTCTGCCTGGAATGCCCCTTTTCTCCAGATATCTGACTCACTCATTTCCTTCAAGTGTTTTCTCAAAAGTCAGCCTCACAGTGAAGCCTGTTCTGACTGCCCTGTTTACAATTGAAACCTCCCATCCGCCTTTCCTGTTTTTCCTCGACAACAACCATCCTCATCTAACACACTATGGAATTTACTTGTTTTATTTATATCTGTCTCCCCTCATTAACTGAATACCTTTTAAGGAAATATCTACAGATTCAATTAACATTCATGTAGACTATGTGCTAAGCACTGTGCTAAGAGATGGACTTTCTGTTTATGTCTTATGAAGGTAGAAATCATAATAACAATTAGGAGCAGTAGCTCATGTATTGAGTGCTTCCTCTGTGTTAGTGTTTGCCAAATATCGTAATAAAAATGGCTAACATTGATCCAGACTCTTCTACATGCATTATCTCATTCAATCCTCTCCAAGGCCAAAGTGGTAGCTATTGCCAGCCTCATTGTAAACAGCTGGTAAGAAACAAGATTGCAAAGCTCGAAATGGGCAGTCACGATTTGGACTAAGGGGGTGGGGGCAGTGTAGGGTCTGATGTGCCAAATATTTAGGATTTGGGGTCAGCAACAATAGGTGAAAGATTGGATGTGGTGGCGAGGGGAGGAGAGAAATGACCCCCAGGTTTTGACTGGGGCAGACCACAGTGGAATAAAGTCGAAGAGAAAGATGAAATCCCAACTTGGGGCGCTTTGAGCTCGAGGTGCCTGCGGGCTGCTCAGGGGTACAGTTCAACACCGACAGGAGACGGGAGGAAGTTCCGGCCCCAGCCCCTCCCTCGGGCCCGAAGAGATGCTGGGAGAAGGCACGCACGGGAAGAGCGGGAGGTGGGTACCCCGCCCGCCAGGCTCTCCAGCAGCGGCGGCAGCAGTAAGCAAGGCGCGAGGGACCGGGAGACAAAGAGGGCTCCGGCAACGCCCCCGTCCCGGCGGCCCCTTTAAGAAGCGCGCCTCCAGCTCCCAGCCCGCCTCGTATGCAAATTTGGCGGCGAGGCGGGAGCGCGCGGCTGAGACCCAGGGACCGGGCTGCGGCGGTTAGTCCTCTCCCGGCCGCCGTCGCCTCCGACATATTGCCCGCAGGAGCTGCGGCGGCGAAGCGGAGAGCGCCGGGGGGAGGAGATGGGTGAGCAGAGTGGGTCCAGCTCGGCTCGGGAACGGGCGGGCTTCGGGGTTAGGATGGCCAAGCTGCTTAATTGCTCCCCCACGCGGACGGGATCCCGGCGAGGGGCGGGGGAGGGGATTCCGGCGCAGTGGGACCCGCCCCCTCCCTTCGTGGGGTGGGGCCTCTGCTGCTGGGGGCGGGGCATTGGCGTGGTGGGCGGGGCTACTGGAGTGAGGTGGGCCCGTGGGGGTTAGGGCTTTGCTGAGGACCCGCTCACCTGGGCTAGGGATGGGGGAGGAGCTTGTTGTGGGCGGGGCCTTAGTGCAAAGGGCGGGGCTTAAGAGCTCTGGGTGTTTGTGCCGGGAGGGACTTTTCCGATCTGTAGGGTCTTTGCTCTGGAGTGGGTGGAGCTGGAACGAGACCTTCCAGAATAAGGCAGCCCATTCTGGAGTGGAGTTTCTAGGTTGAGAGAGCTTTTATTGTCTTGGGGGCGGATTTTCTGGGCTGTCAATTGTGTAGGCGGGACTTCTGGGTTGAGGGACTTTTAGTAGGTGTAGAGCTTCCAAAGAGAGGCGAGTAGGTGTGAGCTGAGGGTGCTTGTGTGGGATTTTCTAAGCCAGTAATTCATGAGCAGAGCTTCTGAGCTGGGGGCTGATGGGGGCAGAGTTCCTGGATCAGTGCTTTATGAAGACATGTGAGAAAAGCTCCTGGCTGTGTGTAGGGCGTGTGCGTAGGCTGCTGTGTTGCTGTGAGGGGTATGACCTGTAACTTGACCAGTACTTGGGTGGTGCTCAGGAGCTTTATAGGGGACATTTGTGCAAGGTGGGGCCTAGGAGCTCTGACTAGACGTCTAAGCCTAGGGAAATAGATCGTGGGTCCAGGTTTTGTGTCCACAACCACACAGTTCTTTCAAAGGCTACATCCAAAGGCTGACCTTGTGTTCAGCCCCCGGGTCTTGACCACCAGACACCAGAATGTCAGTTTAGCTGGATCTCAGACCCCCAAACTACCAGTAACACAGTGTAAGCTCAGTTACCTAATATGTGGAAAACTTTGCTCAGTTCATTGACTCATCAACATATATGTGTGGGGCACTTTATCCTGGAAACTGAGATGGGGGTCCAACAGTTAAAAAAGGACAGATTCAGTTACTGGTTACACTGATCTTCCATTCTAGCAGGAAAGACAGACTATAAATATGTTAACAAATAAATGAGGTAAATTCAGCAAGTAAATTGTTGTGAATAAAAGTAGAAATAAGAGGGAAAATAAACAGGACTGTTTAAAAACAAAAATAAATAATTTAGGTAAAATTTTATTTCAAAAATTTATTTTTAAAGATTTGTTTTATTTATGCATACAAGAACTGGAGTGTAGGCCAGAGGTGTGGGGGGTGAGAGGATTCACCAGAGACAGAGTGAGGAGCAGAACAGCAGATGGGCCAAAATACACTGCTGAGGGGAGCAGTAGGTGAGACAGGAGAGGTCTGCTGCACCATGTTGGTTAGTTCCCTGGCCAGGGATCAAACTCATGCCACAGTGGATACTGATAGTTTGATAGTGTTGAAATTTTAACCCCTGCCCTACCAAGAGGACCTATTTCAAAAATTTAAACAATGCCATGATTGCCTCAAGATTTCTCGAATTATGTGTTGTGCTTTTTTCATTAAAAAAAAAAAAAAAGAAAAGTAGAAGTAGAACAGAGTGATGGGGCAGCTACTTCAAAAATGGCAGAGTTCTCCGACAGAGGAAACATCAAGTGCAAGAGATAACTTGCTCATGGTGAGAAATACCAGATTGCTGAAGCTTAGGGATGAGGCAGGTAATGAAAGATGAAGTTGAAGGGATGGGCAGGGGCTAGATCAGATGTCTCTGAGGATTAATCGATCAAGTGAGACACCAGATAACTGGTAGCCAGTGTCATTGCTATTATCCTATTGTGTGTCCTCTGGCTTGAGGATCTACCTTGTGTTGAGCCCCACAGGAGGACGAAGAGGTCCCAATAGGACATCCTACTGTCGCAATCCGCTCTGTGAACCAGGATCCTCAGGAGGCTCTGGTGGGGGCCACACTTCCAGCGCATCAGTCACCAGTGTCCGTTCCCGCACCAGGTAAACCACCTCTCTGTCTCTTGCCCCTCACTGTGGGCTGTCTCCACAGTGAGCAGTGGCAAGGGGCAGTGTGGACAAAGTTCTCCTTGATTGGGCTCTACAGTGTGATACCACAGATGCCATCTTAGAGGTCAGTGAGCCTCAGAAAAAAATCCAGAGGGTAGTCACCTGGACAGACACCGAAGGATATAGTGTAATAAACCCAAGACCTGGATTCCACAGTTTTGCTCCTGATAATGCTGGTGGATTAGACAAGTTGGTTTTCCATTTTGATCCTTTTTTTTTTTTTTTTTTAAGATTTATTTATTTATACAAGCACTGGGTACAGTCAGAAGCGCGGGAGGGTGAGAGAATTCACCAGAGCCAGAGCGGGGAGCAGAGCAGGCAGAAGGACCGAAGTACACTGCTGAGGGGAGCAGCGGGCGGCAGGAGAGGTCTGCGCGCCATGTGGGACCCTCACTGGCAGCCGGGGATCGAACTGGCGCTGCAGAGGCTTCGGGCAGCTTTGCAGCCCAGCGCTCAGCCACTGCGCCACCAGGGAGGCCCCTTTTTGATCCTTCTTTTCCTCATCTGTAAGATAGACTCTCCTTTCTGGAGAGTGCTGGAAAGGCTGAATACGATTAGGGATAGGAAAAGGCTTTGTGGGTGCCTTTGACTGACAGGCAGCAGTAGAAGGAAGTAAAAGGACTCCATCATTGCCAGGACTCCTGCACCACGATTCTGCCCCCCAGAAGTCCTCCCTGGTAGGGTTCTTGGGTCAGCTCCTGATGTTGTTCCCTCCCCACTCCTAGGAGCAGTTCTGGAACTGGTCTCTCCAGCCCCCCACTGGCCACCCAGACGGTCGTGCCCCTGCAGCACTGCAAGATCCCTGAGCTGCCAGTCCAAGCCAGCATTCTCTTTGAGTTACAGCTCTTCTTCTGCCAGCTCATAGCCCTCTTCGTCCACTACGTCAACATCTACAAGACAGTGTGGTGGTATCCACCCTCCCATCCACCCTCCCACACCTCCCTGGTAGGTACCCAGCTAGGACCAGCTGTGTAAGAGTGTGTGTGTGTGTGTGTGTGTGTGTGTGTGTGTGTATGAGAGAGAAAGAGACAGACAGACAGACAAACACACATCTGGTATCAGTTTAGCATGACTTACCCACCACCCTGTACACTTAGCCCTGTGCTGGGTAGTATAGAAGAAACAGGAAACTGATGATTCCTGAACATTCACTCCTAATACGCGCAGTACCACACTAGACCTTGTACAGGTGGCAGAGATGAATCTGACACAGATTTTACCTCCAGGAGCAGTCTGAGTCCTGTGGGGAGATGAACCACAGTTATATGTGAATGTTTCAGGGACTGGAAAGAGCTCTGTGCAGGAGAGGTGCATGGGTGGTCAGAGCAAGAGGGCTCCCTCACCACTCTCTTATCTCCAGGGACTGTCCCACCTCCCTCCTCTGGGTCCTGTTCTACCCCTCTAGGTAATTTCCTGGCCTGACTCAGCTAAAGACCTGTGAAGGTCAGAGTGGGGACAGTCCCTATGGAAAGGACTGGGCAGGGGAGGTGGGTATGAGAAAAGCCTGTATATGGGCGGGGGGCCCATGTGACCCCTAGCCTCTGCCCCCTGACAGAATTTCCACCTGATCGACTTCAACTTGCTGATGGTGACCACCATTGTTCTGGGCCGCCGCTTCATTGGGTCCATCGTGAAGGAGGTGATTGGGTCCTAGAGGCTGTCTGGGGACTTTGGGGTTTCTCTATCCCCTGGGGATGCCAAGGACATATGCCCTTCCACCCTGAGGCATTTCCTTGGGGTTCCCTTTGGACTTGGTTGAAGAACATTACATACTTCCCATTGACTCTTAGAATTTTCTGGGTGTCAAAGAGAAGGATTCACCTTGCCAGTTCTGCCCAGCCTGCTGCCCCACATTTCCCTGGGTGGGATCACAGGCCATGCTGGGTGGGATTTGGGCAAAGCCCCCGTGATCTCCATCCAAGATTCCATCCCGTCCTATCTCGCCCTGACCCAGGCTTCTCAGAGGGGAAAGGTCTCCCTCTTTCGCTCCATCCTGCTGTTCCTCACCCGCTTCACCGTTCTCACGGCAACAGGCTGGAGTCTGTGCCGCTCCCTCATCCACCTCTTCAGGACCTACTCCTTCCTGAACCTCCTGTTCCTCTGCTATCCGTGAGTACCCCTCACTTCACCCCTCACTGCCTAGTACCTGCTCTTAACCTTTGACCTGAGTGTGGCTGGGTCCTCAGCCCCCATACTTGGAAGACTCATAGGCAGGGCAGCAACAGTCTCTCTCACTGTCTGACAGAGAGGGCAGGATGATTGGTCTTTTTCAGGAGCAGAAACTGAGAGGGCACAGTTTACGCAGGGTACCAGCGACAGGGAGGTCAAAATGGGACTCAGACCTGAGTGTATTCCCACAGGAACATCCCGAGGGGATGCATGGACTTTGTCTCCCTCTTGCTTCTTTTCCTCTTTTTCTGGTTTTCCCTGTCTTTTTGTGAATTTCAGTGTCTATGTCATCTCTTGGTGCCTCCCCTGGGCTTGTGAGCACCTGTGTGTGTGCATGAAGCACATGTGTGTTTGTGTGTGTGTGTCTACACATGCATGTGTGTATGTCTGTCTTTTTGTCTGTTTTGCTCATTTACTCCATCCATCTCCTCTCCCTCTGTCTCACCAGAACCCAGACTATTGAGGAAAGAGCCCAGGACTGCCCTTTTTCTGGCATAGATTTGGGGAGGGCTTTTGTAAGGTGTCCACTCTGGCTGCTCCTGGGGCAGGCTCCTGGCTGCCTGGGCATTGACAGTTATTTCCCAACCTCTGGGCTTTCTGGCTATTGAACGTCCTCAGGCCAGGCCGACCCTGTTTGCAGGGAAGCTTCAAAGCTGGACATTCCTCTGTCTGCCCCGCATGACCAAAAGGGTGCTATCATGGGAGGAGCCCAGTCACATTTGCTTCACTTGTACCTTCTTTTTATTTCTAAAAGTGACATGTGTGGTATTAAAACATTAAACTTTACAGAAGATTTTAATATAGAAAATGAAAGTTCCACAAAATCTCAGTCCTTGGAAAACTATATTGACAGTATATCCTTCCAAACTCTTTTCTGTGCAAGTTTACACACATACTTTTTTAAGACAAAGGTGGGATTATATTCTTTGTGATGTACAACTTACTACATTTTTTACATCATGTATATACTCATATAACTTGGATGTTTCCACGGCAATACATTTATTATGGGTCTGACCAGTTTTTTTTAACAGTCTCATTATGTAGACCTTTTTTTTTTAGATTTATTTATAGATCTTTTTAAACAATTTGTCTTATTTGTCTTCTACTAGTAGACTTTTGGGTTGTTTTTAGCTTTTCTCTATTCGAAACTATGAGGAGGGAACACTTTTTTTGCACACATCTTTGCACACTTATCCAATATCCCTATACAACAGATTCATAGAATTACTGAGCCAAAAGGTATGGCTCTATTTTCTGATAGATGGAATATGTAGCAGATGGCCCTCAGAGAGTTTACTGGTTAAAACTGTCAACAGTAGCTTTAATTTCTGGCTACGCTCTAGTAAGTCTCTCTAGGTATAGACATTACCCAAATGTTCATATTTTGCTTTGTTTTTTGTCAATTAGTTAAAAACTTTAACATTGTTTAAATACATCATCAAAATTAAGTCCAGTAGTGCCAATAGGCTAATGATAAAAAACAGCCTCCAACCCCACCTTCCAGGTTTTTAAGTGCTAATTCTTAAAAACACTCTGACTGTTTTAAGTGATTTTCAAGTTACTACCATCTTTCCAATATCTTTGTACCTTTATTTCTTTTACATAGTTAAAATTCAAAAGGTGCAAAAGAATGAATAACCCCCCCCTTGACTTTTATTCCTAGCTCCCCAGTTTTTCTTGCAAGGGGTAACCACCAATATTTCTGATCTCCTGTATAATTTGGAAGTAAATGTTTTACATGTGTGCTAGCATCACACATGCAATGTGCATATGCCTTGTGTGCACATTGATTTTGTGCAGGGATTGTGAAGATATAGCTGATCCTTCCATTCATGCTGTTCCCAATATTTGATAATTGTTACTATTTTCAGTTTTCTGTTATCTTTATTTTAGTGATATGAGTATGCTATATTTTTCTGTCATGAACATAGTCAGCATCTTAATTCCTTTTAAGATGAGCATATTAGGAACCCTACCCATCCGTTTTTTTTTTTTTTTTTTTTTTTTTTTTTATATAGACGCATGTTTTACTTATTTATTTATTTGTTTGTTTTTTTTTTGTTTATACATGCACTGGGTACAGTCAGAAGCGCGGGAGGGTGAGAGAATCCACCAGAGCCAGAGCAGGGAGCAGAGCAGGCAGAAGGACCGAAGTACACTGCTGAGGGGAGCAGCGGGCTGCAGGAGAGGTCTGCGCGCCATGTGGGACCCTCCTCCAGTGGCTGGGGAGCTGCCGGGGATCGAACCGGCGCTACAGAGGCTGCGGGCAGCTTCGCAACGCAGCGCTCAACCGCTGCGCCGCCGGGGAGGCCCTACCCATCCGTTTTTGTCCCCTCTTTCTCCTCTTACTTCCTGGCAGCTACACTTTTATATTGTCAAGCTTGATATTCACATTCTCCTATTTAACCACATGTAAGTCTTCCTTTCTTTGCGTAAGGTAAATTCTAGAAATTAAAAACCATTTAGTAGCCTTGATAGTATTATGAGTATGAAAATATCATTCACTGGAGACCCTTGTAGTGTGTGTTGATGACATTCCTTCTCTATAGTTACTGCCTTTTAATCTTGGACTTCTTAAAAAAAGAGTTTCTAGTATAAACATCAAATGGTTTCTCTTTTCTTACATTTCTGTCATTGGCTTAAAATCATGTCACTTTTTAGTTTGCTTCATATTTAGATTGTAACTTTCTGATACAGCTTTTTATTTTTCTTAGCATTTCTAATTGCCTTTCTTTTTTCTTGTTGACAAAAGAATGATGGGCCTTCAACATATCCTCAAGTTTATCCAGCCTCTCAATCATGCTACCTGGCCTGGAGTCCATTTTCCCTCCCAAAGACATCCCTCCTGGAGCCCTCCATCCTCCTGCTCCAGTCTGGAGCGGGTGCCCTTTAGGTCTGCTGTGCAGCTTTCAGCCTGGGACTTCCCTTCACTGCCCTCCTGGGTTGGATCCACTGTTTCCTGGATCCCATGTCTTCCTCTTTCTTGGTTTTCTTCCTTATTTGGCTGGAGTGCATTATCAGGTAATTTCTTTAACAATGGATACATGGGAAGAATATACATTCTGAGTCTTTGCATGTCTAAAAATGTCTTTATTCTCTCTTACTTGATTGATAGTTCACTTGAATGTAGATTTCCAAGTTCAAATTCATATTCTTAGAATTTTGAAGATACTGTTCCATGGTCTATAACATCCGGCCTTTCTAATGAGAAGTCTGAAGCCAATTTGATTCCAATGACTTTGGTTTTTTCCTTTATGGAAGTTTTAGAATATTTTATTATCTTTAGATTATTTGAAATTTCACAACAATGTATCTGCTGTAGAACTTTTGTTATTCATCTTATCAGGACTTATTAAAAGATTTGGGTATTTCTTCAGCTCAGGGAAGTTTCTTCTCTCTCTCTTTTTTATAGCTTCCCTTCCACTTTTTCTGTTCTTTCTGGTACTTCTGTTCATCAGATGGTAGATATCATAGATTAGTCTCTTATATTTTCTCTAACATTTTCCCTCAGATTTTTCATCTCTCCCCCATTATTCTCTTCTTTCTTTCTCTACCCATCTCTTCTCTCTTTGACTTCCTGCTCTCTCTCTCTCTTTATTTTGCCTTTAAGGAGATTTTTCAATTTGCATCTTCCAGCTTTTTTACTGAGATTTTTTTTTTAACAATCATATTTTTCATTCCTAAGGTCTCTTTCTTTCTTCTGATTGTTCTATTCTCCTGGCATTCTGTGCTTGTTTAAAAAATGTCTTATGTTCCCTAAATTTTGTCTTTCCACTTAGATAACTTTTCTGTCTCATATTCCTAGTTTTTTAAAAGATAATTGGTTTCTTTGGTTGCCTGTTTATCTTTACGAATGAAGGACTGAGTAGCTTGAAATGCATTTTTCTCTCTCTCTGTCACTGTAGACATGAGTGGGGAGTTTGGCTGGGAGTTCTAAGAATTTGGCCAGGGCACACTGTCTGCAGACTTTGCTTTAGATTGAGTGAGTAAAGGGCTAGTTGTCAGGCTGTGGGACTCCACAGGCCAGAAAGGTGTTAACACAAGGATCCCCTACTAGAAGCCTCAGTTCTCTATAATTTATTTATTTATTTTTTTAAAATCTTTTTTTTAAAAGATTTATTTATTTATTTATACAAGCACTGGGGTACAGTCAGAAGCACGGGAGGGTGAGAGAATTCACCAGAGCCAGAGCTGGGAGCAGAGCAGGCAGAAGGACCAAAGTACACTGCTGAGGGGAGCAGCGGGCGGCAGGAGAGGTCTGCGCGCCATGTGGGACCCTCCTCCGGTGGCCGGGGAGCAGCCGGGAATTGAACCAGTGCTGCAGAGGCTGTGGGCAGCTTTGCAACCCAGCGCTCAACCGCTGCGCCACCGGGGAGGCCCAGTTCTCTATAATTTAGACAATTCTTTGGAGAAGAAGCTTTCAGGGTGGGTTGTGTGAGGTATGTAGGAAATTAAAGGAACTGACTCTTACCAGTAAATAAAAAAAATCTTTGTTTAATGCTGTTCAGCCCTGCTTTGCACTTCTGCTTTCTAACAAATGTGGCCACTTCAAGCAGGAGTCTCTTTTGGGTCACTCAGGCAGATAAGCTCCTACCCCCAGTACAACCTTGAGGCATCTTCTAGACCTACACCATCCAATTTAGTAGTGTCTAGCTTCCTGTTGTCATTGAACATTTGAAATAGGCTAGTTTGAATTGAGATTTGCTGTAAATGTAAAATATATATTGGATTCTGAAGACAGTACTAAAAAAAGAGAAAGTAAGTAAAGCATCTCATTAATAAACAGAGATTGCATGTTGAAATGATAATATTTTGCACATATTGGGGTAAATGAAATTAAGTATTAAAATGAAATTTATCTCTCTACTAGAAAATTGAAAATTACATATGTGACTCTCATGGACAGCAGTGCATTAGAGGATGATTTCCTTCCTCATCTGTCATTTGTCATGTACTTTCTAGATTGTCAAAATCACTTGTGTCTTGATAACCCGCACCCTCATTCCTTTTTTGCTGATACAGATTTGTTTTCTGCATTTTACTGTCACATCTTGGATGGCAAGGATGAGAGGAAACTTGCCATCGTTCATGTGAAGCTGTTTCTAATTTCTTTTTTTTTATTATTTCTAACTTCCGACCCGTCAAAAGTCATGTCACTTGCTGTCACCAAATAATTGAGTGGATCACAAGGCCTATCTGTGTTCCTTCCTAGAGGCAAAACCAGGGAGATTCTTAAGTATGAACTCTCAACTTTGAGTCTGAATTGTATGTATGTTCATGTATGTTCATATAAGTGCCCCTTCCTCTCAGTACCACAAGGTATCCTGAAATATGTTTTGGAAATCCATTTCAGTCTTCTTTCCTGTCCCACAGGAATCACTGGCCTCTTTCTTTTCTAAGCAGAATGTATTGATCTTCTGCTCTGGGCCAGGCACCATGCTGGGGGTTGTTGCAAGGATTAGGAAAGACTATGAACACACTTATATTATGCCTGTCTGAATGTAGAGAATCAGTGCAAGCTACAGAGCATAAGGCAAGTTAAGGAAACTGAGGCTCAAAGAGTTTATATAATTGGTCCCAAATCAAAGCACTAGTAAGTAACAGAGTAGAGTAGAGATTTTCATCCTGGCCTATTTGACCCAAAAGATGTTTTTTTTTTTTTTTTTAGATTTATTTATTTATTTATACAAGCACTGGATACAGTCAGAAGTGCAGGAGGGTGAGGGAATTCACCAGAGCCAGAGCAGGGAGCAGAGCAGGCAGAAGGACCGAAGTACGCTGCTGAGGGGAGCAGCGGGCGGCAGGAGAGGTCTGCGCGCCACGCGGGACCCTCCTCCTGTGGCCGGGGGGCAGCCGGGGATCGAACCGGTGCTGTAGAGGCTGCGGGCAGCTTTGCAAGCCAGTGCTCAACCACTGCGCCACCGGGGAGGCCCAAAAGATTATGTTCTTAGCCAGAGTTCTCTAATTTATCTTACTTAACCTTACCCTGGGAGAATAGTAGTATCCCTATTTTATATTTTTATGGAAGATGTGCTCTGGATGTGGTTTATGTAAGGAGCATCGTCATTTTATAGATCAGAAAGTAAATACCCAAAGTAGCTGTTACTTGCCCAAGGACTCATGTATCCCTTCTTGGAACCTCAGAAAATAGGAAAAGAAAAAATTACTGCTGGGGCCTCCCTGATGGCGCAGCCGGTTGAGCGCCGTGCTGTGAAGCTGTCCGCAGTCTCTGCAGTGCGGGTTTGATTCCTGGCCATCCAGGGAGCTGACCCACATGGCCTTCGGGTCAGCTGCCTTGCCCACTGCTCCCGTCAGCAGTGTATTTCATTCAGTCTGCCTGTTCTGCTCCCCCTCTATCTCTGGTGAATTCTCTCACCCTCCTGCACCTCTGGCCTGTACCCCAGTTCTTGTATAAATAAATTAAAAAAAGAAAAAATTACTGTTGATAAGAAAATTTAGCATTTTCAAAGCCCTTATACCTGGAGGGCAGCCCAAGGACCCTTCTGGATCTGGGGATATTGTGAGGCTCTGAGCTAAGTAAAAAAAGGAATGTCTGTAAAGGACATATACCATGGACCTTACAAGTACTGTGGTCAGCATCCACCCACTTTCTGTAATTACCTACTCTTCTGGGCTATGGGTGTATCTAGTTTGCTCCTTAAACAGCACCAGCTACATACTCAACACACCCTTTGATGAATTAGCTCTAGCCCTGAGGGACTGGTAAGGTTCAAGGGCCTGGTACACAGCACAAAATAAATATTTGTTCCCAAACTGCTTTCTATGAACTAAAGAGCTGCCTCTAACATAGGCATCCCTAACAATTTATACACCTCTTTTGTATCACTGAGTACTTTTTTTTTTTTTTTACACTGCTGAGGGGAGCCGTGGGCAGCAGGAGAGGTCTGCGAGCCATGTGGGACCCTCGCTGGTAGCCGGGGATGTAACTGGCGCTGCAGAGGCTGCGGGCAGCTTCACAGCCCAGCGCTCAACCGCTGTGCCACCAGGGAGGCCCTGAGTACATTTTTTTTAAGATTTCAATTTTTTTTTATGCTTACAAGAACTGGAGTGTAGACCAGCGGTGCAGGAGTCGGGGGTTGTGTGTGTGAGAGGATTCACCAGAGACAGAGTGGGGAGTAGAACAGGCAGATATACTGAAATACACTGCTGAGGGGAGCAGCGGGCAAGGCAGGAGAGGTCTGCTGCATCATGTGGGTAGCTCCCTGGCCACGGAAGGAACTCGTGCTGCAGTGGCTGGTGATAGCTTCGTAGTTCTAAAACTATAACCCCTGGGCCACCAGGGAGTTCCTCACTGAGTACATTTTTAATTAATTGTTCATAGTACTTGTTGAGTATCTGCTTGATTTTTGGCATCAGACAGTTGTGAGTTTGAATCACAGCTCTATTAACTTCCTTTATTGTATAACCTTTAACTCTCTGAGCCACAGCTTCTCAGCTGAAAAGGGTACAAAATAACCCTAATAATGATGATTTTAGGAGAATGGAAGAAGAGAACACAGGTAAAGCACTTAGTGTAATGTTCAGATCATAGGCTGTGCCAGTGTGAGCTGTTACTATGTTAGTCAGCACCTGCTTCCTGCTGTATCCCCAGTGCTCGGCCCAACATTCATGATGCACTAATGCCAATATGTGTGTCGAATGACTCATCACTGGTAGAAAGCTGGGTAAATTCTCCTCTTTGAGCGGCCAGGAGAGCTAAGTCCCAGGCAGGAAAGAAGATTCCCTCAGTGGTTGAGGGTTGGGAGCCAGGCCCATGAGCAGGCCTGCCCTCACCACTGTCTTCCCCAGCAGGTTTGGGATGTACATTCCGTTCCTGCAGCTGAACTGTGATTTCCGCAAGACAAACCTCTTCAGCCACATGGCCTCCATGGGGCCCCGGGAGGCAGTCAGTGGCCTGGCACGGAGCCGGGACTACCTGCTGACACTGCGGGAGACCTGGAAGCAGCATACACGGCAGCTGTATGGCCCAGAGGCCATGCCCACCCATGCCTGTTGCCTGTCACCCAGCCTTATCCGCAGCGAGGTAGAGTTCCTCAAGATGGACTTCAACTGGCGTATGAAGGAGGTGCTGGTCAGCTCCATGCTGAGTGCCTATTATGTGGCCTTTGTGCCCGTCTGGTTTGTCAAGGTGCGTAGCCCAACCCAGGAGGGGAAATGGCCTGCCTGGGGCCTTGCCTTCCTGCCTGCCCCCCATAAACCCTCCTGCTTGCATAAATAACTCCACTGTTTGTGATGAGATGCCCATCTGTTCTCTTAAGAGCTAAAGTGGCTACTGTCTCCATTTTAGAGTGGATAGAACAAGGCTGATTGAAAGGAAGTGACTTGCCCAAGGTCCCCCAGCCAATGAAGGAGACAGGCCATTGTTCACGACACTTGATAACAAAAAGCAGTGACTTGTATTCATTGTGGCTCTTTGGATACAGGCCTGTACCATGTCCTGCTTTATTGTTAAATAGGAAAGCCAGGACTCATCCAGATCTGAGAGACCCCAAAAGTCTGTGTTCTCTCTAGCTTGTATAGCCTTCTGAGAAGCTACCCTAGCTGACAGTTGACTTGTAACATTTCTGTAAGAATGGACAGCTCTGAATGATTTGAGGTTGAGAGGACTTACGTCTGTGGAATACCTACAACATGCTATAGTTTTCATGAGTATTTACTCCTCCTACCACCTCTCAAGTGGTTTATAACCCAGAACACAGAGGAAGTGAAATGACTTGCCCAAGGCCACATAGTTAATCAGCCTCAGGGCCACGATTTCAACCCATGTTTGTTAGACCCCAGAACCTCTCCTCTGTCTCAGAATGGTGAGCACTGGGAGCAGTTTTTCTTTGTAAAAACCGAGTAGTGGGTGGATGGTCTCTGTCCATGATTAAGAAGTTGTGAGGTCTTTGTTGATCCTTGGTTTCACACCACCTGAGGTCTCTCCAGGGCTGTCCTGATGTCTAAGGCAGAGAGAATTAGGGAAGGGAGAGAGGGAGACCTTACGGGTGTCCCAGGCCTCACCCACCTCCCACTGCTCCTAGAACACACATTACTATGACAAGCGCTGGTCCTGCGAGCTCTTCCTGCTGGTGTCCATCAGCACCTCAGTGATCCTCATGCAGCACCTGCTGCCTGCCAGCTACTGTGACCTGCTGCACAAGGCCGCTGCCCACCTGGGCTGCTGGCAGAAGGTGGACCCAGCGCTGTGCTCCAATGTGCTGCAACACCCGTGAGTTGCCCCACCCTTCTGTGCCCAGCCCCAGCCCTTCCGGTCAGTGTCTGGAGTCACTCATCAACTAATTCATTCAGCCAGCAAGTAATGACTGAGCATGTCTCATGTGCCAGGCCTTGTGGCCAGAGTGGGGCATAGCAGTGCCCAAGAAGGCCATGTTTTCTGTCCTTGGGTTATTTACAGTGTACTGGGGGCAGGTGGTAAATTCATCAGCTCATTGACTTTCTCCTTCACTGACTACTGTTTATTCGCTTATCGACTGAATTTGACCAGTCATTGCTTCACTTCTCTCACCTGCTCACTCATCTGTTTGATCATTAGGTCACCTCTTTAAGCAGACATTTGCGTCTACCTAATCCATACCAGGCCTGGCCCTATGTTTTGGGCAAAGGAGTTTGGACTTTGACCTGTAGGCAGAAGAGAGTTTTGAACAGTGGAGGGACCCATTCCAGAGTATGCCTTAAAAACCTCAGCGGGTGATAGGATCTGGTGTGATGTTAACTGATGGTGAACTCTGGCCAGGGAAGGAGAGCCACCGGAGGAAATGGCTGAGACGAGATCCTTGAGGAGTTCACAGTCTGGTGGGGGGAAATAGCAATGGACACAGGATGAGTGCCGCAAAAGAGGCCCAGCTGCAGGATGGCACCGTGCCCAGAGCAGAGGCAGATATCGCCCTGCTCAGGCTAGCCCTGAGGCTGTCCTCCCCTCACCTGGCTGATCCTTCTTGGGTGCCTAGCATTTCTACAGCCCTTCATCACAGTATTTCCCACCCAGATTATACTAATTTTCACACCTGTATCACCCCATTAGACTGGAAGCTCCTCAAGACTGGGACCATCTCTGAATCACGTCTGAGTCTTGGGCCCAGCACAAGGCCTGGCAGAGAGGAGGCCCCAGGACAGGTTAGTAGATAGGCCCTTCAAGGAACAAGATTCAGAGGGAGGCTACAGATGCCAAGCCTCCTGGTGTTGGCCCTTTGTGCTAGTCAGGATCCTTCTCAAACTCTGTCCACGTGGTCCAGGAAAGGGGCTGGGCATTGCCAATTAGCCAAAAATAGGACACAGCTTAGCCTCAGGCTCTGAGGAGAGGTAGTCGAGCAGAACATAGTTGAACAAGAGGATGAACCTGGCCATGGCTCACCATGGCCTGCAGGTGTAAGCTCCAGGCTCCTGCACAGGACTTCCCATCTGATGAGCAGGCCTCTCCAGCCTTTTCTGCTTCATTTCTTACCATGCCACGCCTCCACTCATACCCTGCTTAGACCAGACCTCTTCAGATCCTCAGATTCTGTACTTTTGTATCTAGGCTTTTGGCTATGATGCCTGTTTTGCCTGGAATGCCCTTTCTGTCTTTCTCTTCCCGATGAACATCCTTCAGCACTTTGCTTCATCCTGACCACACAGGATGGGTTCAGTGTCCTGTCCCTGTGCTCCCGAAACCTGTAACACCACACACAGTGCTTTCTGCTGTGTTTGCTTAGTTACTTGCTGTCACTCCAGGACCACCGCCCCTGGAAGTCGAGGTCCTTGCCTGTCAGGCATTCAAATGTCTCCTTACCCCTGGCAGACTACCTGGCTTATGTTTGGTCCATGGCAAATTTTTGGTCTTTTTTTTTTTTTTTTTTTTTTTCTAATTTTTCTTTTTTAAGATTTATTTTATCTGTACAAGAACTGGGCTACAGGCCAGATGTGTGGGAGGGTGAGAGGATTCACCAGAGACAGAGCAGGGAACAGAACAGGCAGAATGACTGAAATACACTGCTGAGAGGAGCAGCGGGCAAGACAGGAGGGGTCTGCCCCACCATGTGGGTTGCTCCACGACCAGCGGTGATCGAACTGGCACAGCAGAGGCTGCGGACAGCTTCACAGTGCTGCGCTCAACTGCCTGTGCCACCAGGGAGGCCCCCATCTTTTTTTTTTTTTTTAAGATTTATTTATTTATTTATACAAGCACTGGTACAGTCAGAAGCGCGGGAGGGTGAGAGAATTCACCAGAGCCAGAGCGGGGAGCAGAGCAGGCAGAAGGACTTAAGTACACTGCTGAGGGAAACAGCAGGCGGCAGGAGAGGTCTGCGCGCCATGCGGGACCCTCCTCCTGTGGCTGGGGAGCAGCCGGGGATCGAACCGGCACTGCAGAGGCTGCGGGCAGCTTCTCAACCCAGCGCTCAACTGCTGCGCCGCCGGGGAGGCCCAACCCCCGTCTTTTTTTTAAGGTACAGTTTATACATAGTGAAATGCACAAATCTCAAAATGTGTATTCTTTGAGAACATTTCCAGTTCCTCAGAAAATATCTTCAGGACCCTTCCCAATGACTCTTCCCTACCCTCTTTCCCCCCCAAAACAACCCAAGTTCCATTTCCTTTCACCATAATTTAGTTTTACCTACTCTAGAACTTCATATAAATGGAATAATATAGTAAATACTCTGTGTCTAACTTCTCACACTCAGCATTTTGTCTGTGAGGCTCATCTGTGTTGTGTGTAAACGCCATGACTTTTTTTTCAATGAATGAATCAACAGGGCAGCATGAGATGAAGCTTCTTGCAGATACTGATTCTTAATCCTCTGGCCCAGGGTCTTTTGGCATTCCTGGGAGATCTTGTTGAGCACTGGAAGAAAGCTTACTGATCCCACTATCCCACAATCTCATTCACTGGTCACTGGGACCTCTTTGTGCGAGGCCTCATGGCATGCCTTGAGTTCACAGAGATGACTCAGACAGACTGAAGGGCTGCAGACTATTCAGGGATGTAAATATATGACAAAACACTAGGGAAAGTGGACCAGTGGCAGAAAATTCAGGTAGCAGTTAAAGGATGCTGAGCTGAACTCTGTGGGGAGTTTGAGAAAGGTTTCTTGGAGGATGCTGAGGTTTGAAAGATGATAGGGAGCTTGTCAGAAGAGAAAGGCATTAGGAGTGACATTCCACTTGTAGGGAGCAACTTAAGTAGAGACATGACCCAGTGATGGGTTCTGGAGAAACTGGAACTAGTATGGGAGTCCTAGAAGACCACACAAGTCCTTTGGCCAGGCCAGATCCATGTGTTGGACAGTTGAAGGATACATGAATAAAATGCACCTAAAGAGGAAAAAGGTACATAACTACTCCTCACACAGCATCAACCCTAGACCTTTTAACTCCGCATAGTGAATTTCTCATGACTCTTACCCCATTTTGCAGAGGAGGCAATTGAGATCCATAAAAGGAAAGTCACTATGTCTAAGAGATAGATGTAGAAGTAGAGTTCTGGTGGTCGCCCCACATCCAATCTGGTACCCCCTTTTGTGGGTGAACTCGGGGTAAAGGGCACTGTTGGGCTGTGCCTCCAGGTGGACTGAAGAATGCATGTGGCCGCAGGGTGTGCTGGTGAAACACAGCAAGAACGTCTACAAAGCAGTGGGTCACTACAATGTGGCCATCCCCTCGGATGTCTCCCACTTCCGGTTCCACGTGAGTCTCCTCCCCTGGGAAGGAGGGATGGGGTCTTATCTAAAAGGCAGGGCAGGAGAATCTCGGGGTAGCAAGGTGATGTCATAGCCAGAGAAGGTTATCTTTAGTATTTCCCAAATCCAAAGGAAGACAGCCTACATGCAGCACAAAGACAGCTGAGTCAGTCATCACGTCATAGCTGCAGCTCGCTGGTAACAGGTCTTTCAAAACATTGGGTGGAGCCGGGAAAGATGATACAATAAAAGGAATTCTTAGTGGGGAAAATAATAACTATCCTCATTCCCCATTGTGTGCCAGGCACTGTGGTGAGCACTTCTCAGGCAGACCTCACCGGAGCCTTGCGTGAGAGAAGTGCCAGGGCTGGCCACGCTTTTAGATACTGAAACCGACTTAAAGATTTTAACTGGTTTGAGGGTGCCTTACTCTGGGAAACTGGGGACTTAGTACTATGGAAAGGGCTGCTCAAAATCATCTAGGCTAGTGTCCTAGTTTATTGTACTATCAAAATCCTTTTTCAGTCGCAGCCACAAAATCCAGTATATAAGACCTTGTGGCACTGCTCTGTTTAGGAAAGGTTTGGAACTCCCTTCACTTCTCACTCATGCCTGCCATCCCCTCCTAAAAGTACCCTTCAGAACCTGGGGTTCTAAGAAACAGAGTTTGAGAAAATGATATGAGCAACCTTAAGCCTAGAAGGGAAAAGGCATTGTCCAAAGTCCTGCAGCCTGTTGGGTGCAGAGCTGAGTCTAGCATCTTGTTCTCTTAGCCTCCCATTTCCCATTTTTCTCATTTTGTTAGCCAGGAATTTTAGGCACCTAAATACTGATCATTCTTGAACTCTTCAGAAGATTTTTCTTGATTCCCTACACTCTGCCTTGCCCTGTTAACACCAGGTAAGGATGAAGAATTGCCATGGTCCCTGGAAGCTTCTGGCCTAGCTGAGGATGCCACATAATGAAGTTGTAGGCGACTCAGAGTGGAGGGTTCATAACTTTCTGGACCAGTGTCAAAAGATTCTAATTTGTTGAGGCATGGCAATACCTAGAAGGATCACATATGAGGGGTATTGATTTTATTTTATTTTATTTTATTTATTTATTTATTTATTTATTTTTTTAAAGAGGCATGTGTTTTTATTTATTTATTCGTTTGTTTTGTTTATACATGCACTGGGTACAGTCAGAAGCACGGGAGGGTGAGAGAATTCACCAGAGCCAGAGTGGGGAGCAGAGCAGGCAGAAGGACCGAAGTACACTGCTGAGGGGAGCAGCGGGCGGCAGGAGAGGTCTGCGCACCATGTGGGACCCTCATCCGATGGCCGGGGAGCAGCCGGGGATCGAGCCGGCGCCTCAGAGGCTGAGGGCAGCTTCCCAAGCCAGCGCTCAACCGCTGCGCCACCGGGGAGGCCCGAGGGGTATTGATTTTAGACCAGAAAAAGTTTGGGACCGCAAGCAAGACCTCCTACTATTTGGAGGAGATAGATGTGGAACAAGATCTTAAATGACTTATGTGGGAAGCAGTATGGTTAAGAACACTACAAACAAAAATAGGCTGCAAAGTACATGCCCATTCCTACAAAATCTGTCTTCCTCAAGTCTGCAGGGGGCCCTAAGCTTGACCCTTTCATTGCCTCCTCCCCCCAGAGTCCCCACCAAAGAGGCAGGTTTCTGGAGCTATCCCCACCTAAGAGGCAGGTTTCTGGAGCATACCCTTCTAGTCCTTCCTCTTCTTTCCTGGACAGTTCTTTTTCAGCAAACCCCTGCGGATCCTTAACATTCTGCTGCTGCTAGAGGGCGCTGTCATCGTCTACCAGCTATATTCCTTAATGTCCTCAGAAAAGTGGCACCAGACTATCTCACTGGCACTCATCCTCTTCAGCAACTACTACGCCTTCTTCAAGCTGCTGCGGGATCGCCTGGTGTTGGGCAAGGCCTACTCGTACTCTGCCAGCCCCCAGCGGGATCTGGACCACCGTTTCTCCTGAGTCCCCAGGGCGACCCCAGGGACAGCATCCAGGCTTCGGCCAGGGTCTCTCTGGGAAGGGCTGTTGGGGCGGGATCGGTAAGGGGCAAAACAAAAACAAAAAACTGACAAAAAAAATCCACCAGAGTTTGTATTTTTGTTACATACTGTTTCTTTCTTTGTAATTGATGTGATTATGAGGAAAAAAGTCCTATTTTTATACTCCCAATAAGCTTGTGTCCTGTATTTCTTTTCCTTCTCTCCTGACAGAGAACAGAGGTGCGGTGTGGGATTCTGCACTGGAAAGTCCCATGTGTGGCTTTCAGGGTCCCTGTGGGCTCTCTTCTCCAGTGGAGAGGAGGAGAGAAAACACCAGGGTAATGGTGATAGCTGGGAGCTCAGAGAGCTTATGTGACTTGCCCAAGGTAACACAGCTAGGAAGTGGTAGAGCTGAGCAAAAACAAGCAACCCCCTGAAGGTTGACACTACTATCCTGGCAGAATGTGATGTCCTGATTCTCTCAGCATGCAGACACTGAGCCCTGCATTGTGCCAAGTGCTCTGGTAGATGATGAGAGTGCCAGGACAGAAGCAAACAAGTCATACTACCCTGCAATGGTATAACAGTGACAAGGTACACAGTAGGAGAGGATGTTCTCTGGACTTCTGGAAGACGAACAGCCAGACTTCTATCAGCTATTTCCTAAATGGACAAGAAGGGGGAAAGGCATTTCAAGTAAAAGAAAGGGCCTGTGCACTAACAGATTTGGAACATCCTGGTGTGTGGGGGGAGCGTAAGAGAATGTGGTTTCCACAGCATGAAGGAATAAGGAAGGTGTGGCTAGATGGGCTGGAGCTGGAAAGGTTTGCTGGAGCTGGATCTGGGAAGACAAATGGCCCTAAGCTAGGGAGGTTATATGAAAAAGGCTAAATGCTAGAGTAGACACAAAGGGGATTGGAGGGTCACCTGGCTCCTGTGGGCAAGGATGAGGGGCTCCAGGGGCTGGGATAAAGTCTTAGCCTCTCATCAAGTCACCCCTAGTTCCTCAGTTCTTTCCTTGAGCCCGTGTTGGCCACAAAACACATGGATGGATAAGAGCCTCCCTGGTGGTGCAAGGGGTTAAGCACCACACTATGAAGCAATCTACAGCCTCTGCAGCAAGAGTTCAATCCCTGGCCGGCCAGGGAGCAACCTACATGGTGAGGCAGACCCCACCTGTCTCACCCGCTGCTCCCCTCAGCAGTGTGTTTCAGTCAGTCTACCTGTTCTGTTCCCCATTCTGTCTCTGGTGAATCCTCTCACCCCCTGCATCTCTGGCCTGTACCCCAGCTCTTGTATGCATACATAAATAAATCTTTAAAAAAAAAAAACATACAGATAAGTCTACTGTGATGGACGGGAGACAGACACTGCAAGGAAAACTTTGGTGACTGTTGAGGCAGGAATTGTGCTAGGCACTGGGACTGAGACAAAAAAGAGGAAGATAATGCCCCTTCAATACACAACCAGGAGAGTGAGCCACACCTTCTGAGCAAATTAGGGTACTAAGTGCTGAGGAAAACATGTGTCCAGGGCTCTGGATTGCAGAGAGAGGATAGCTCTAGAAAGAGGCTTTTTTGAGGAGGTGAGTGCTGAATTGGGTGTTGACATGAGTTCATGTCATAGAGGAAGGGAGTTTCCCAAATATGGATGGAGCATCGGTTGCTGGGTGGGGAGTCGCTCCAGAAGCCAGTAAGGGCCAGCTTGTGAGGAAGACTGAAATGTCTGGGCATAACCTAAGGGCAGACAGTAGGAAATTGCTAAGCAGAGGGGTGCCCTGATGAGGTGCTGCTATTAAGGAGATAGTGGGTGCAAGAGAGCCTGGAGACAAAAGATCAGCGAGGATCTTTTGACATAGGCTGGGACAGAATGAAGAGTTCTGACCCTGAGTAGAGGCTCAAGTAGGAAGAGAGACAGTGCTCCCTTTCCTGAAAGAATGGTTTCAGAGTTGGCTTTTTGAGTTGTTTTCCTTAACGGACCAGGCACACAACTAGAGTTGGCAATTTGTTCAGCTTCCAAAAGACAGACCCCTCCTGGGACTAGTGACAAAGACACAGGCTTCTCTGTGTTGAGGACTGGATGTTATGATGCAAAGAGGGAGGTCTAATGCGTACCAGGCATAAATTCCACAATTCAAATGCCACATGAATACTTAGGACCTCAAATTCATCTCCAAAAAAGGGAGATCACATTCCTTGCTCTGTAACTCACAGGCCTGTTCATTCATTTGTTTATTCATTCAGCAATCATTTATAGAGCACATAACTTTGTGCCAAACACAGTCCACAGGGGCCACAAGCTGCAGTGATGAACAACGCAGAACCTACCCCTGCCCTCAGGGAGCTCGCTGTGAGGATAAAGGAAATATAAAGGTCCACTATAAAGCACAACTCGGGGTTCATTCTTCTACTTACCTCCCAATTACTCTTCACTTTTTCCTTGTCTTATCTCTTTTCCCTTCTCCAGAAGCCTCCTTATTCATATTCAGCTCTGGCTCTCTGTATGGCTTAACCTAAAGGTAGGGATAGGGTTCTGAAGAAAAAGCTTCTCAGGGAAGAGACCTCACTACAAGAAATTGAAAAAGCTGGGGCCTCCCTGGTGGCGCAAGGGGTTAAGATGCAACCTATGAAGCTCACCACAGCCACTTCAGGCACAAGTTCTATCCCCAACCAGGGAGGTGATTCACATGGCCCAGCAGACCTCTCCTGTCTGGCCCACTGCTCCCCTCAGCAGTGTATTTCTGTTGATCTGCCTGCTCTGTTCCCCACTGTCTCTGGTGAATCCTCTCACCCCTCCAAAAACCCTGGCCTGTACCCCAGTTCTTTTATGTACAAATAAATAAATCTTTTAAAAAATAAAAAAATAAAAATATGAAAAAGCTGAGAACTTCCACCCACACAACTTTCTTTAATAGCTATCCCCCCACTCCAGTCTCTCTCCACCCACTCCTTCCAAATTTCATCCCGATTCCCTGCCTTTAATAGCTGCGTTCTCTTTAAGCGCGATCCTCCGTGTAAACTAAGCAGAGGGGCTGAGAGCGCGTTTCTTCCCGGATTGAACGTGAGGTTGTTTGTCCGTTTGGGGCTGCCGTCCTGCAGGTCCGCCATATTGTCTGCTTAAGCTGCCGCTGAAGCTGCCGCCGCTGCCGCCGCCAAATAGGAGCGAGCGGAGCCGCGATGGGTGAGTAAGGAAACCGGGCAATCCGAGACTCGAAGTACAGCGGTGTTGGGGTTTAGGGTCTGGCGAGCGCTTGTCTCAGGTTTGCGGAGGATGCCTGAGCCCCCTCCAAATAGGTTTGGGGGGAGAAGCCAGGCCGGGAGTGCCCCCCAGGCCAGTTGGGGCCCGCCGAGGGGAGCAGTCCTCGGGGCTGATTCCGGGAGCACCGTGGCTCGCTGGAAGCCCCCACGTGGAGGCCTCGGGCCGGGGCCCACATATTCCCGGGGCCGTGAGGAGGCCGACGTTCCAGCCGGCGCCAGGACGGGCCGGGGGCCGGGCTCCCGGCCGCAGGCCCCGGCGGAGCAGAGGGGCCCTCTCCCGGCGTGTGCTTGACCCACACGCGTCTGGCTGGATGCGGCGCCTCCCCGGGGCTCAGGGAAATGCTACCCACGTCGCAGGTCGGGTCCTCGGATGAGGGGGACGCCCGGCGAGCCAGCTGCAGCCCTGTAACCAGGGGCAGCCAGGCCCGAGGCCGCCTGGGCCGCCGAAGGCCGAGAGAACTTCCTTAGCTGAGGCGGAAATGGGGCGGTTCGGTTGGGCTCAGAGTGACAGCCTTCGTGGTGGTAGCAAACCGGGGCCAAGACCTCATGGCCACACGTAGGTCGGGGCTTCACGCTTCTGGACTCGGTATCGTTAGAGAAAAGGAACGACCTGTTGCTGTTTTTGAAGGAACTCCTGCCAGCGAGGCCTGCACTCAGAGAATGTGCTAGCACAGTCGCTAGATTTACCATCAGTGGGGTGTCGTCTCTAGCAATAAGAACTGTTAAATTTGCTAAGCTGTTCCTAGGCGCAGGCATTAGTCTGCTTGCTGTACACGTCCTGTTTTACTTAATATGCGCAATTTATGTGAGATTGAGTCTGGTGTCATCCCTATTTTACAGATAAGGAAACTGAGGCTTAGAGAGGTAAAGTAACTTACCCAAGGTCACACAGTTAGTGGCTAAACCAGGGTGATCACTCCAGAGCCCCCGTTTATAGCTGCTGCTATAGCCCGGCCCTCTAGTGGTTGGGCTGGGAGAAGAGGGACGAATGCTTGTAACCCTAGGCAAACTTATAAAGGTGTTGTGTATTTTGTTTTGCTTTATTTGCTAGTGGGCCTCCTCCTTTAAAATCTTTAGTATAAATGAAACTGAAAGACTCGAAAGTGAATTACTAATCCCAGCGAGAGAGAGAGAGAGAGAAAGAGAGAGAGAGAGCGTGTGTGTGTGTTTGTGTGTGTGTGTGTGTGTGTTTGGGAGGGGCTAGGTGAGATTCAGGGAATTTTGTAAGATCCCTGATCCTGAGGAAACAAAGTCCCTTGAGCTGCAAGGCAACGACTTTGGAATCAGGCCTTTCATTTCTTAGCTCTCCTCCAAAGAAGTCACTTAAATATCAGGTGCAGTAATGCATATGAAAAATATCTAGCACAGGTCACAATAAATGTTATTTTCCTTCCTTTATGAACCTTTCCTCTAAAAGGGGAAAGGAGCAGTATTATCAAGGTACTTGAGGACTAACAGATTTCAGTATTTGGGCCTCGTAAGGGCTCTGTAAATATCCAAACACCTTCGATGATGTTAGTTCCTTCCCCTTATGCACTCTTACTTTCATTGGCCTCCAGTGAGTGATCAGATTGATAGGCCTGTCTTTGTAACTACAACTTTATGTACCAATGAAAAAATTTTAGGGACTTTCATGTTATTGACTTTGTGTTGGCTTTCAATTTCAGGAATATTGTTGCCTCAGAGGGAAAGAGCTAATATTAGGTTTACTAAGCTTAATGAAATTAATTTAGTAGCAATTTACTCAATTTTTACACATTGGAAAACTACCTCAGAGACCTGTAACACAGCTGTTGTGTTGCATAAGCACCAAAGCCAGAAATAAGATACTTGCCCACTTTGCTGCTTATAAACCTCTTTAAAAATATTATATATTTTTAAGTAAAGTTAGTCCATTTCTGGTAGACTTTGAGATGAACATGCTTTGGTGGAGCAACAAAACCTCACCAGGATCCTGAAGGGTACTTTTAGTCAAGTCAAGCACTCTCACGTTTTCTGTCCAGCTCCATTTCAGGTACCTCTGCCCTGTCCCACCTTTTCTTTGGGCTCAGAGGTTCCAGCTATTAGAGTTTGGTTTTGGTTTTTGTTTGTTAATTTTTTAAAAGGATTTATTTTTTATTTATTTATGCATACAAGAATGGAGTGCAGGCCAGAGGTGCAGGATGGGATGAGAGGATTCGCCAGAGACGGAGTGGGGAGCAGAGCAGGTGGATCTACTGAAATACACTGCTGAAGGGGAGCAGCGGGCAAGACAGGAGAGATCTGCCGCACCATGTGGGTCAGCTCCCTGGCTGGGAATTGAACTCATGCCACAGTGGCTGGCTGTCGATAGCTTGATAGCATTGAGATTTTAACCCCTGTGCCACCAGGGAGGCCCCTGTTAATTTATTTTTGCTCATCTTTATAACTTGACAAACTAGTGGAAGGGTACATTTAATTTTAACATTCGAGCCAAGTTAGTTTGGGTTATCTCCATTTACAAATGAGTAAACTGAGACTTACTCATTTGTCTAATGAGTCTAATTCTTTCCAATTTTTTTTTTAAAAATTTATTTTATTTTATTTTTTATAGAGGCATGTTTTATTTATTTGTTTGTTTGTTTGTTTTGTTTATACAAGCACTGGGTACAGTCAGAAGCGCGGGAGGGTGAGAGAATTCACCAGAGCCAGAGCGGGGAGCAGAGCAGGCAGAAGGACCGAAGTACACTGCTGAGGGGAGCAGCGGGCGGCAGGAGAGGTCTGCGCGCCATGTGGGACCCTCCTCCGGTGGCTGGGGAGCAGCTGGGGATCGAACCGGTGCCGCAGAGGCCGCGGGCAGCTTCGCAACCCAGCGCTCAACCGCTGCGCCACCGGGGAGGCCCTCTTTCCAATTTTTAAAAGCTTTGAAGGTGACTACTTCAAAACTAGGCCCTTTGGATGCTGGGGACACTAACACAGCCTGCGTTCACACCTTAAGGTGTAATTTACCTTGAGTTCTGAATATATAATAGATGACGTCTCCTGTACCAAACCTCATCAGATCTTTGGAGTGATTTTACTGCCATTAAAGTGCCCTGTTTCAGGGGGTTTAGGGGGAGATGCTTACAGTTCTGAAAGTTGCTTATTTTGACCCTCAGCAGAACTACAACCCCTCAAAACTAAGTCCTGGTAGACAGTGTTTTATCGCCATTCCTTGCTAACCAGGAATCTGAGTCATGTCTGTCCTGTCTGCCCAAAAGTTTTGATTAATGTAAACTTTAAGCCACTCTTAATTTTGTCTCTCTGAGTAGTGATTGATTTAGGCATAGGCATGTGATGCAGTTCTGGCTAATTAGATGTGAAGGGAAACCTGGGGCACTTCTGGAAAAGTCTTTTTTAAAAGGGATTTGTCAGGTTTTGTTTTGTTATTTTTTAACAGCTTATATTTTAAGCCAGGTATCACTAAAGTGTGACAGCCAACAAATATGCAAAATTTGCTTGGGCTAGGCACTCGCTTAGTACCATAATAGCAACTCATTTAATTCTCAGATTCTCAGGCTCTGTTGAGGAAACTGTAGTACAGAGCGGTTCAATAACTTTCACAAAATCATAGCTAGTAAGTAGAGGAAGTATGGTTCCAACCAAAATATGGGCCTTTGAGGATATGTTTGGCCCCTAGAAAGCAGAGAGTCCTTGTGTGGCCTCGAAATCACCATTTGCAATGTTGGGATCATGAGACAGAATTTATAAATAAGAGCAGGCGGTTCTGCGGGTGAGGGTAGAGAAGATGGAAAGAACCTGATCTCTTCGTGGATGGTCTTGAGCCACTGAATTAGCCAACTTGGAACTGTTCTCTCTCTGGACTACTGAAGGCCACTGGAGTTGGCTTTTAGATACAAGTAACAATACCTTTCTAATTTATCACTCTTCCTAGTCAGGCATTTAGCCTATCTCTTCTTTTTAGTTTCCCTCCATCCTTGCCCCGTCCACCCCACAGTGCTTTCAGAGAAAGCCCTAAACCATCAACCACCACCTGAGTGTCCCTCAAGCATCATTGCCTTATTGCCTCTTCCTGACCTGCTTCTCCTGCGTTCTGTTAACGGTGGTGTCATTGGCCCATACTCTAGGGCACGGACCCTCATTCTTCTTCGGTTCCTTGATCTTTTCTTGCCTTTCTATATTGGCAATTTTTTAAAAAAGATTTATTTATGCATACAAGAACTGGGGTACGGACCAGAGGTGCTTAGGGTGAGAGGATTCACCGGAGACAGTGGGGAGCAGAACAGGCAGATGTACTGAAATACACTGCTGAGGAGAGTGGTGGGCGACACAGGAGAAGTCTGCTGCGCCATGTGGGTCACCTCCCTGACTGGGGATTGAACTTGTGTGGGTGGCTGTGGATTGCTTCATAGTGCTGTGACTTAATCCCATGTGCCACCAGGGAGACCGTTAAAAATCTTTATGTCAAAAAATACTGTAAATTGTGTAAGTGTTACTCAGAAGCCTTCCCCATCTCTCCCCTACCAGTACCAGTTTTGCTGTAGTCAAATACCCATCTGATCTTAGTTTAGGATCTACTCCTTAGTTATCTCCTTGCTGTTCACAGGATAAAATTATAACCCTAGGGTGTGACATTCAAGGCTTTCCTATTGACTTTACTAATTTTATTCCATTAAGGTACATCCCACAGTCTACTCACATCCCATAGTCTACTCAGACTGCTTTCCTTGTACTTCAGCACTCCTGAAAGAGAAAGTGACAGAAGCAATCCTTTCCCCACCCTTCTTTTCCTAGGGAAATTTTGTGTTATTTGATTCTTTAATAGAGTTCTTCAATCAGTTACTTATACTGAGGCTCATTTTCCTCGTCTCTAAAATAGGGATGACAGTGTCTACCTCATAAGATTGTTGGGATTAATTGAGCCAATGCATGTAAAGCATTTTAGCATGGTATTTAGCACACAGT